TGAAATCACAATAAGGTGCCGCTAGGCAGTCAAGTCGAACCCCACAAATATTTCGCGTCTGCGGCCACTCGAGAAGATAGAGCAGCACACCACAGAGACTTTCGGCGATGCGTGGATTGTGGCACTCAAGCACATTTCGCGTAATGGATGAAACGCCACCGCACACGATCAGCAGCGCCGGATTGAGCACTGCAAACTCAGCAAGCGTCGCAAGGCAGGCACGAAGAAGATTGTCGCTCTCCTCAATGCCGCTGTCGGCCAGCGACACGAGACATCTGACGACTACTGGACTTATGTCTTCAGGCGCTATGGCCAGCATTTTACGTACCAACTTAAGCGCCTGCACGCGTTCATCGTCGTTCTTTAGCATCAAATCAATGGACCGACATAAAAGATGCTGAAGCTGCAGCGCATTGAACGCTCTGATATCCTTTGGCGTGGTCAGCGTATAGCGGATAGTGCGGAGCGCAGCCGCACGTACCTGCGTAAAGGTGTGCACCAGTGAGGCACTTAGACTGCAGATACAAATATTATTAGTTTGGAATAACTCTTACGATTCCTTGCAGCACGCGTAACTTACCAGTAAAGGAGTTCCTCTGTGCTGAAGCGTAGGTTGTTGTGCGGCGAGCCCGTGGTAGCCGCTAGGCAAAGCGAGGCCAGAGCATTGAGCAGAAACAAACGCTTCGTATCCCGCGTCTCCTCCACACAAAGCATGGCATAGATGTCATAGGCATTTTCAGCCGCCGATTTCTTTGGATCCAATCGATAGAAATCCTCCGGATCTTGTGAAACTAAAAACGCAATAAGTCAACAGACGTTATTAAAAATATTGTGAGGAGAGACAGATGAGAAGGGATCTGACGAAAGCTGATATCTGCTAGGGACGAACGCTCACAAAGCCAAAAGCTGGACAACAAACTGGAATATCCCAACTAATTGGGCCAAATCTGCACGTGTCACGTTCACGCTACGCCCCGATAGCTGCGTGGAATCGCGCATCAATGGGGGGATGATTGCACATACTAGCGTTCTCTATTAGCTGGATCGCAAGATCGTCTGTAGAGCTCACATCGCAGCCAACAGAGCTAAATGCTTGAATAGGCTCAAATAACTTGCTGCTTATCTGTACAAAGGCGCTACTTAATCGGCTGAGGCTATCTAATTCTCGCAACTGACGCTACGGAACGTGATCTTCGCCTCACAACGGTCGGAGACCAAATGTTTTTGCTGTTTTTGCTGCAGCTACGCCGACAAGCTGCTGGGGCATTCCAATACGGTCGCCAGAATTCTGGCTGACACCATCTCTGAAAGGCGCCTAAGCGTCCTCCTATGCGGGCGATTTATTTGAGCATAAGTTGGTAAAGTTCCAGTAAACAATTAACGATAAATTAAAAATAAAAACGTCCATGGTTCGATTTACAATGCGAATCAATGCCTCTCCATAAGGATCGGTTTGTTAACTTGTTTTTCTATATCCATGAGCCAGGCTTAGGCTCGATCTTGGGTTCGTTAATTTTTTTTTACCAGTTTTCAATGGAAAAATTTAATTTATACTTTGGCAAAATCCACAGGAATACATTCATGCATCTATGCATTCACCACGAAGCATTCCTAACCCATTACCGGCTCATTGTCCCTGTTGCACCACAATCGGCAATCGAAGTAAACAATGGATAAGAAAATCACTGCCGCTCTCTATGCTTATATTATGTGTTTTTTTTCCTTCTTAATAAAACGAAAATATATCATTAGTCCGACGCCCAGTCACCTAAGCCACACAAGCTAATAATTGTCACGTTTGAAACGCATTGTTTTTGATGCTCTTCATACAAACTTTGACACCAGCTTTCTTCAAATTAGGGGTCAAATTTCCACTGCTTTTAGCGCTCGGAATGTCCATTCAGTTAGTCAATGAGTGATTCAGTCAATCGGGGCAAACTTTTATATTTATACAGCTAATTATTGAAATATTTTAATGGACATCGGATTACTCTATTATATAAACTTTAAGAACAATCATAAATTAAATTTGTGCGGTCAATTCAAACCGAAATTGATTCGGTGCACCGAAGACACGCGTTCTTCGAAAAATTGTATTTTGGAATGTTCAGGATAGTGGGGCAAGAAGCCTTTATTAGAACGCTGAACCGTTTGAATGTTTCAAACATTAAAAGCATCCGTGATAGGTCTGCCACAATATGGAAGTTATGGCCATGTTATGGGGATTGCAATGTTGTTACAGAAAGTATTGCTGCTTTCTATGCCTCTGGAAGAGTCGAGCTCGCTATGCGTGTGATCAAGGATGGACTGGTCAAAACAAGAAGTACATACTTCATAATGTTTCAAACGTAGATTACATGATATTAACACAGCTGTCTTAAATATGAAAGCGCCTTTGGCAGCGCATTGATTGGAAAGAAATTTTACTCTATTTCCGACAATTTCCTGGATATTTTTTAGGAAACCAAAGTTCGGACTGTACTGGAATCGTTCTAAATTTGATGAAAATAAAATTACAAAAAAACTAGTCACTAAAAATAAATTTCCTGCACGCCCACTTAGACTTTTTGTCGACCAACTTGGATGAGCACGTAGAATGATTCTACCAACAACTAAAATATATGGAATTCCAATTATTTTATGACCGTATATCTATAGCTTGGCAGGCCAGGTCTCGTTCAAACTACTGAAAAACGAATCTATTATAAGTATTACATGGAATAAATTGATGAAAGCAAAGTAAATTCTCACATAAGCGATTTAAAAGTCCTCGCTGTCATTGCATGTGCCGGCAAACGAAGCCTGCTCCCTAAAACCTGCCCATCCAAATCAGGGCTGCTATCAGGATTTTTGATTTTTGAGCGTTATGCATTAAAAGGTCGTACAAACAATTGTACATTCCACTCAACTCACGGCTATCGAAGGGAAATTGCTCCACGAGTGAAACTAATCAGCGCTGTTGCTGTCATCAGGTTGGGCTGCCGGCGCACGTGAAATTATTAAGTGTCATAGCAGTTGTTTGTCTCGTTGCAAGCAAGCAAGCAAACCAACTGTACTTGGAAAATAAATGAACAACAAATGTGAATGTTGCTGTTGGTTTTATATTGTTGTTAGCTTGCTGCGTCATCGTTGGGGCGCTCTATGTTAGCGACGTGACGTCTATTAATAGACAACAAACATGAAGTAAAAATTTGGTCAAACAAAACATAGACAAGCACATAGGCACATATAAAAATATAACAACCCATTTCTGACAGCGACATCACCCAGAGGTGAGTGACGGATATATTCAAGATATATATTGCCAGGCGGATGCTGCAACATTGATTCGGTTATGCGCAATCGACTTTGCCTGCCTTTTTAACCACATAGTATATGTGTTTATTGGGTAAGCCCGCAGTAGCTGTTGACTAGACTTGCTTACCGCTTACTGTTATTTAGCACGTCACAGCCTTGCCACAGTTAGTAGCAATTATAATATCAGTTCTATTTAGTATGTATTATGCACTTAAGTTTACATAGGTAGTAGCGATGCTACTTGAGGCATATGTTAATTAACATTTATCATAGCTGCACATAATATACCTTTAATGCGTAATTGTAGTTTGCTTCTTTTTTTGCCAAAACGCCAACTGGAATGTAGAGAGGCCATTTCTCAGGGCAACGGCGAAGATGGCGGCGGTTGCAGCGCCCATTCACCAATACCAAACCAAATAAAAAAGACCACACGAGTAAATGAAAATATATTTCTATGAATGTTACTTAGGGTGCCTCTGTTTACTTTCTACATTTTATGGCACTCTTGTTTGCACTGTTGTTGATATTGATAGCGATGTTAAGCTACAGCTGGTCAAAATGCTCATTTTTAGGCGTTTAGAATCACTTTTATATATATATTTGGTATTCACTTTTTTTATTTTATATCATGCACTATGGCTTTTATTTATATCAATACTTTATTTGCACAGAACCAAGCGCAAAATTGATTAGCGGATGCGTTTCTTTTTTTTTTTTTTTTTTTTGATAAAATGAGCAGAACTACTTGCAATCGATATCTGACAGGGCTACAAAGAGATAACCCAAATGTATTTATGCAGCCCTTCGTGACTAAGAAAATTTAAGTATTTGGCAGCACTTATCATATTATCGGTCAAGCAATATCCAACAAATTCAAAGCAAATAGTTAATGCTATTAAAATCCTGTTTCACAAACATATTAAAATGCTTCAATATTAAACTTATTTGCACAAATATTAAGTATAATTCATAAAAAAAAACCTTTAAGATCCGATAAATATATATAACGTTTTTAGAACAAAATATCAATAGACAGACATATTGCTAGGGATATAATTCTCACATTTAAATCATCTGTTTATGATTGAAATCATGTACATAACACATGTTATACTAATCTTTATTATTTAAATTTTAAGTTTTTTTTATACAGTTAAACAATGTTGGTGATGTTATTTTTATCACTCAAGAACGTAAGCCTTTAATACGTGGAGTTGGGTAGGAACGTATATTTTTAGCATAGCATCAATACAAACCAACGGAAAGATTTTTAAGAAACGATGTAGATGAAATAATAAAATTATTATATTTTGGTTCGTTTTTGACTGAGTGGTTGTCTTTATAACTTTTGATTTTCCTTATTTTTCCGGGCACTCCGTACATCTAGTATGGAGCAGCTGTGAACAACTTATCGCCGAATCCTTAATTGGTTTCAGGAACACCACCACTTTGGCTCTCTGTCACAGAAAGCAAATTTGTATGCCGGCTGGCAAGCGAATATCGATGATGGTTTGTACAGCATTAAAACTTTCAGCGATTTATGCCGATAGTTAAATATGTATACACGATACTATCGAAAAGCCTATTCAATTCGATAACAATTGTTTACAAATGGATATATCGATAAGAATCTACTTAATGAGTCTATTTAAATTTTAAAAGCGACGCTAAAATCCGAACAATATTTGTATTTGATTTAATTGATGGATTCACAGAAAATAAATTCTGTGCTTATAGCGGTGCGTGAAGCGCCGTTTCGGACCACACTAATTAGCAGCAAAAGCCCCGATGAGAAAAGTATAATACACTATCCGGAGAATTGTCCAAAAGTAAATACGATCACAATGTAACTGTACACCATATACATATTAAATTTAATCCTGTTATGGCGAACATGCTTCTGTTTACAGGCCCTTTCTGTCAATGGTAATGTTTTTAGCTTTGATTATGTATTCAACTCCACTGTGACACAGTCTGAGCTATACGATACGCTTGTTCATCCGCTGGTCCTAAAGGTGTTATCTGGATATGATTGCACAGCATTGGCCTATGGTCAGACCGGCACTGGCAAAAGCTATTCTATGGGGATGAGCGCAGAGGTGAGTTTGAATTAGCGGCGTAAACTTTTGACATTTAGCGTTGAAGGGCTCTTTTTAAATGCAGAAACTGACAGAGGAACATATGGGTGTTGTACCAAGGTGCTTGCAAGACATATTGGACCATACATGCCTTGCAAATCAAAAAGAGAACAATCCTTTGCCGAAGCTTGTTTACGCTTCCTACATAGAAATATATAATGAAAGGGCATACGATCTTCTTGCCCTCGACACGGAAAAGCCTTTGGCATCGCGTGGACAGCGGTTCACGGGTGGCACATGTAAGCCATTGAGAAACCAACAGGACCTGCTACATATACTGATGTTGGGCACTAAGAATCGGCATGTGCGTCCCACCAACATGAACAAAAATAGTTCTCGCTCCCATGCCATTGTCACCATCCATGTTCGACAAGGCCAAAGCCATGCGCGCCTGAACATCGTCGATTTAGCTGGTTCCGAGGGTGTGCGTCGCACTGGTAACGAGGGCATGGCACGTGCTGAGGGAGTCTATATAAATATGGGACTCTTGGGTATAAATAAAGTGCTGCTCTCCATGTCTGCTGGGCACACATTGATACCCTATCGAGACTCTATACTAACAACTGTACTACAAGGTATGTACATGTGTCTAATTGACTTCTGGTTTCAGACTAACTCCTTTTTTAAGCCCAGAATCCATTGAAAACGGGAAAAAATGTTGAAATATTTTATTTTCTTCCAAAAATTCGAAAAAAATATTATTAGATAGAAACTTGCGATTTGCGATATTTATGCCCTGAAAGTTTCATAAGGATTGACATATACACACAGAATTCAATTGCGAACGCCTTTCCACAGTGTGATGCTAAGGGAAAAATTAACACGTGAGTGAATGTAAAAGCGAAAGCTAGATTGCTTGTAAATCTAACTCAGTGGGGTTCAGGGTATCTCCTAGTCGGGCAGCACCAAGTATAGCACCCCTACTTGTTGTGTGTTGGATGCTTGAATCAGGTAGGTAGGTCTTATGTGCATTTTTATATCGGTAGAAAAATCCTTATAGTATTTAGCATAAAATATTACACTGTCTCTCTCCGAAGGGACGAGCTTCACGCAGTGAACACATTTTTCATGACTTTGATTAGTGACTGAACAACAAATGCACGTGGAAACTGCCTTCTGATCATCCTTAGAGTATCTATTGATCTGCCCTTTATCGCCTTTATTGGGTTCCTGTTTTCATATAGCTCCAAGTTGGCTCTTTGGCAGCTCTGAACAAGCAGGCAAACTATCAGATTCAATCTGTTATCTAATCTACATTTAGCATTGCAAGACGAATCATCATCTCATTTGCAATATTACCTTGTATATCCATGATCCTTTCAATGTACGCTTCAACTAGCTCCGATTGACATTGTTTATCTATCATCCCAACATGCATCGACTGACCATTTTTAGTAATTCCACAACTTTGGGCAGTGCTGCTTTTTTCGCCTGTGTAACTCCATTGAAAATTTAATGTTGAGAAATTTGTATGTTTGTTGAGTGATCTGCTTTCAGTTCTTTCATCTAAATCGGTCAATAACAACCGCAGATATTTACGAAGGCAAAGATAAGTGTCATTTGATGTGTTTTTGCGTATATATATACACGGCTGGTAGAATATTTGCGCGGAACGTAGAGGTATTAGTCGGAAACCCTCTAGACTAGAATACCCTCAGTTGGTTTATTTTACTTACAATAAATTATAATATACATAATCAATATGTACTTTAAATAATTTTTCTTGTTTGCATAGCTTATTTGATTTCTTTTCATTTTAGTTTTATGTAATTATTAAATTGGTCAAATATAATAAGTTCCGTTAACCAACGTCTATTTTAAGTCTAATCTGGATAGCCAATCTGGATAGACAAATGGGCTTTAATAGAAACACACATATATAGACAATATTGGTATTTAGTATATTTTTAAATGAAGGCGCGCGAATCATATTTTTATTTGCAGACTCTCTCAGTGCAGGTGCATATTTAACACTGCTGACTTGCATAAGTCCACATGCTTCTGATCTGTCAGAAACGATCTCCACGCTGCGCTTTGCTAAGAGTGCCAAACAAGTGAAGCTGTCCCCGCAACTGACTCATCGGTTGCAGCAACTGCAGGAGCAATTGGTAAGCAAGCAACTGAAATATCTAAATATAGTTATAATCTGCACAATCCAATATAACGTCGCGCATTCGATGCTTGTACAACATTTCATTGCCAACTCCTAAAAATCCAACTCCGTGCAAACTGGTGGTGGCGCCGCCTTCTGCCATCTCACTAATAACTTGAAGATCCGGCGCATCCTCGCCACGCATGGTCACTATTGGTAACACCATCATGGCTAGCAGCAATCCCACAGCGCCCTTTTCCTTTAGTTGTTGCTTAAAAGCAGTCAGTGGAAATAAAGCTTCTGCCACTTCTCCCAGCCTTCCAAACCAAAGTAACAAATTTAAGTGAAAGTAAAGTTCAATCGAAATAAAGGGTTACTCACCTAGTTAGTTGTTGTCGCAACTCCTCATAGTAGAGCTGAATCATTGGCTGGTAATGCTGCCTGCGAAACTTTCGCGTGGTACAGCTGAATAAGAAGTAGACCAAATCAGTTATCGGGGAGGCATATCGCATTAGCTGCCAGTCAATAAGACAGACCTCTAAAGGCTGTTTCGTGCACGCTTGGCACCTGTAGAGAAAATTGTTGTTCCAACTGTCGCCGTGGCAAACCACTGCAAATGGTTCACAGTTGGAACCATTAAGTAATTCCAAAAGCATTTCGAAATAACTACCCCGACCAAAAAAAGCCTGCAGACGCTTAACATAAACAGCATCTTTCTGCGGGCATAATGTGCTCAGTGCGCTTTGCTTCAGCTGCTCAAAGTAGGCACCTAGGACGTGATCTGTGCGTCGCTCCTCAAAAATGTCCACCAGTTTTTGAAATGGCAATAGCTTCTGAGGCTGTTGGCGTTTAACAGCCAATGAGACTGCGTGCAGCTTTGCATACGCGCACATGACCAGCGATACGTGAGCTGGCGTAAGGTCCGCGAAGCGATCGTGCATCTGGTAGCCATTACGGCACAAGTCCTCCAGCACAATACACTCGTTGGGCTCATCCTGGCGAGTGGCGAAACATTGTGCAAAGTGGCAGAAGCGCTGCGGCTCCGGTACCTGTCGCTCTGCCTGAAAATTGCGGACCAGAGGCAAGAACTTTTCATAGGCCATAGCTTCGCGCTTAAAGCATGGCCGAGCAAAAAACTGCTTGCGCCTCAGTAAGTTCTGGGGTGGAAGCTTCAAGACTAGGCTTTGCTCTTTTTCCACTTGTATTCGCCACACTATGCCCAAATAGTTATTGCCCTTGGCACAGGCCAACTCCAGTGTATAGTCGCTGCGGCCAAGTAACTCTTCAAGCGTCTTACGAACGCTGGCATTGGGTAGATCCTCCTGTTGCTCCATGATTGTGTACTGTGAGCAGACCTTAACCGGCGATTGCTTTTATAGGCATATATACTAACCGCAACCGCAAATTCGATCTGAAGCTAATTTATATATCAAATGTCACTTTTATTGTCTACAGCGTTCAGCCAAAAAGAAGTCCACCAACGCTACGAGACCGAGCTTACGGCGTGTACAGCCAATCTCAAAAGTCATCAAGCGGCCTTTGACTGCTCCCTCACATGCAGCCACAAGAAATAGTTTCTCTACGCCAGTCAAAAATACAGAGGCAAAAAAAAATTTACAGCGCCATCACTCCGACATGGGCTTGACACCTAAGGCCAAAGAATGGTAATTAATGTTGACATTTGTTATATAAATCGGTTAAGAACTCTTCTTTTTTTTACAGTGCACGTGCCTTGCTGGAGCTGCCAGTGGATTTGAATCCAGGCCCAATTGGATTATTACCTGTGGTAGAACAGAGCAACTGCAGTCTGGAAGAGGTGAAAACATCTACGGCGTTGCCAACTATAAGTGACTATATAAAGCTTAAAATGAAGTACGATGCACTGCAGCAGCAACTTCACCCAAACGAGCTACAGGAGAAACAGGCTGCTGAGCGGCCTCCGTCATTGTCACTGCTTAGTTACAGCGACTTCAACTCAGAGCTGTGCTCCATAGCTGAAGAAAACGATGAAATCACTGTTCCGCGCTGTCAATTCTTTAGCAGTAGTCCTGCCAGTTCCAATCCGCGAGACCCTAGTCCAGTAAATGTCAGCGGCATTTCTCCACTGTCATCCTCACCCATTTTTATGAGCAAACGCAATACGGAACTAACAGCTGTTAGGCGCCGCTCAACACGTTTAATGAGCCGACAACTGAACATAGAAATATTTAATAACTGCCAGGAGCAAACGCAGCGACGGCGCAGTATGCGAATTGCCTTACAAACGGAATTGAAACCATATCCGGCTACTGAACAGCCATCTAAATCGCTCGTTAAAGTGCATAATAAAAATAACACTGCTAACAAACTAGGTGGCCTAAGCGAGATTATTTCAGGGCAGCTTAGCAATGGTTCTCAGAATACACGCCTGCGCAAGCATCGCTCCAAGCTATTAGCGCTGGTGAACACTGCCAGCATTAAGGATCTGCAGGCATTGCCTTGCATTGGACCCAAGACAGCCTTTACGTTGATCATGCAACGGTAATTAGTTAAAACTCACATGTCCGTCATCACAATCTAATTACAATTATCATATTTCTTGCAGCTCGATATTGGGGAACTTTAGAAACTGGCTGCAAGTGCAAAAACTGCCCATTTGGAAAGGCAGTAGTTGGTCTCGGTTTGCGAAGGCAAATTGCATTGAGATTTAAAAATTAAATTTAATTTAGTGTTTAGATACTAAGAGCGTGCTCTGATTTTTTTTTAAGTCCTTTTTTTTTATTTATCTTTATTTTTAACGCAATAATACTAATTATAATCTATTCTATACAAATGTGACCGTAAAATTTTGGGTTTGTCTGAGTTTTAGGATTTAAAGATAATTTGTCTGGATACTTGAAGATTCCCTGCTTTAAAAATCTTTTAAAGTCTACGCCCTAGTTTGTTAAATGACAACAATGCATATTTCCTACAGCCATCGATTTTGAGTCGCTAGTCCTATAATAGAGAAAGCTTTTTATTTATTCTTTATTTTATTCTACACAAAAAAATTATATTCCATACGAGAACTTACGAAATATGATTCTGGCCTGTATAATCACGAGATATGCCTAAAACACTTGTTTCAAAATGTGAAAAAGGTAAAAAGAATATATAGTGCAAAATTTAAGTAAATGTAAATGGTTCGATTGGTAATCATCGCAGAGTCCAGTTCATAAGAGGTGGGAAAAAGAATATTTTAGTGTAGTTGTGGTATGCGATGCTATGACAGGGTTATTATTGACAAGTACTAACAATCTTATTGCCATGTAGAGCTAAGAAATTGAATTCAGCTATTTTTAACATTGAATGCGGCTACTTTTTTTAAGCGGCAGTTGGAAATAACTCCCTTTTCCGATTATTAACAACGGAGTAACTTTTGTTGACGCTTGTGCATTCGATCGCTATTCGCTATTGCTAAGTAAGCGAAAATTCGTACGAGTGCGTTAGCTTATCAGTGTTGTGTGAGAACCTAATTTTAGATGCTAATTGATAAGTTGACCAAGGGGGTGCGCGAGATTTCATTAGATGCTCTAAATAGCGTGCTATTCTCGCTGATTGCATGGATCGAGCAGTTGAAGGGGCGCTTGGAGGTTCGCATGCGATGCATGCGCTGCCAAAGTGGGTATTCCGCAGGCACCCGTCGGGAATAGAGTATCCTCGGTCAGTGGAGCCTTTGTTCCTTGTCCCAGTCGAACAAATTATATGCATTTCTTACTATCTTGCTCGCGATGTTGGACCAGCTGTCAGCGTTGTAGTATGTCTATTTTGGTTGTACTGCATGTCCTATATACATACATATACATATGTTGTTTGGTTTTTGTTCAAACTGAAAGTTCGGGTTTGGAGGCCGGCATTCGGCTGCCACATTCAGCAGTCTTACTCTCTCTGGGCATAACAAAATGGTCGCAGGAACCCTTGGGGTTCCCTTGTTGCGATTTGTCGTCTTTCGATTATTCGGCTGTTTGACGTATCTATGCATCGTATGGTTAGTGGTGCTAAGGTAAATCGCTTAAATGACAATCCTGGGCAAGACAGTGCTTGAAAGACCCTATGATGTATATATTGTTGATTAGCATAAGCAGCCGAGTTGATATACGAAGCCATGTCTATCAACCTGTTTCTACGCAAACTAGTGTTGAAGTCATAATAGGTCTTTCTGCTGCAGGCAGTACATATTTAATAACTGGCCGGATCGGACCACTATATCACATAGCTGCTTTGGAAACGACCGATTGAAAAGTAGGTTCTCGTACGAAACACTTCTTTGCGTATGAAGATCATACTTAGGACTTTTTTTTAGGTTTGCCAATTCTCATTAAAATCGGACAACTAAAAATATATATAGCTGCCTCATAAAAGATCTGCCTAAAGTAAATTCTTAAAGATAAATCTTCCTGTTGCTTTGCCTTTCACGTAGTTATTTACAGGCTGATCATACTGAATACTGAAATTACATTCAATTTCGCATGAGAAAAGGAATGTATGTCCGAGAATGCCTTCTTTGAGACTCTACATGAAGCAAAGATATATTGTGTTCTTTATAGGGGCAGTTTTTCACATGGTTCAGGGTATTTTCTAGTGGGGCACTCACGACCAAATCACCTTTTCATGCTTTTGTTTGCTTGTTGGTAAACAAGATAATGCGAAGTACGGGGATACTCACGTTTCAAAATAATAGCTTATATCACATACTTACATATATACAGACTAATGACTTACTTGCATGTATGTATGTAGGTATTTGTGATTGCAAATCGCTTGTAGATAAGGTGTACATTTTATAACAATATAGTATGTATGCGGTAATAAAACCGCAACAGAAACCATCACAAAAGCAGAAGCGGCTTGTGCGAAGTGCAAAGTGCTATCGAGAATAGTCAAAGAAGGTGCAAAAACAAAACCAATAATATCTGATACAGTACAGAATAAGTAAGAATGCAGTGGTCGGGAGTGCCCGACTAGGAGATACCCTGTGCCCAGCGCCAAGCTGTCATTAACTAGCATTATAAGCAAGAGATATTTTGACCCTAGCGTAGAGCTTTCGTTACAAATAGTCTCGCTTCATTCCTAACATACAATCCATACAATCGGAACAATTAGTCAAAAATCAAGCTTTCTTTTGATTGTTGGAATTCTGTCAAAAAATTAGTTTTTATATGGAAAATTTACTGATTCGAGATACATACCAACATCCCTTTGCAATGCTTTCTTGAATAGGTTCTGTCATTATTGTCCGATCTTTATGAAATTTTCAGCCCGTCAATGTGGCATACAAATGTGTCTAAGTACCAAGGCCCAACACTATGCCTCAAATAAATAAAACAGTTTGTCCCAACCGACTGATTGGCTATCAAAGTAGAACCCAAACTGTAAGAGCCAGGAAGCTGAAAGTTTCACTCTAGTTGCTTTATGTGATGAACGTGCAGACGGGGTTTTAGGATATTTCACCTACAAGTGTGAAAAAATCGCGAAAAACGGCCCAAAACTCATTTTCAAGTATAATACAAAAATGTAATATTTACTGTAATATTTAATAAAACAAGAAAGACGGACTGCTATGGTTTGCTGAAGATTTTATACGCTTGTAGATATTTGGCTACGGCTTTAAAGATATGTGAGAAAATATCTTAAAAACAGACTATTTTTTCAAACAAAAACTAACTTTTCGACCGATTTTTCTCACGGAGCTACATATATAATTTAGAATAGCCCAGTTTGGTCAAGATATTTTGATAAACAAGAAAGTTAATCATATAAATACTAATTTTTCAATCGTTCCTTTGGCAGCTTTATATAAAAAATTTCCGAAGTTGTTAGGATTTTGCATATACATACGTAAGGAGCATGGTTTTACTAATAACTGTCAATGATGTTAATAAAATTTTACATATACATACATACATGTATGTAAGGAGCATAGAGAAACTAATAAATTACGGCATTGGTCCGAATATCTTGAGACACAAACAAGTTTTTCATTCAAGAACTTACTTGCCAACCGATCGTTTCTATGTCAACTTTATGATTTATTAGTCCAAACCTTAACAGGTACATATATGTAGGACGCTTAGTGAAAAGAATAGATGTCGAATTAGGTAAAAATATTCTATGCCAGATTTTTAATATATTGTGGTCCTATCGGCCGGCTCCGACATATGTATATATGTATATATATGCATGTACATATACTGCTTGCAACTTACGGTAGCTTTAAAACTGAGATACTACTTTGAATAGAAACAGATAGAAGGATAGGCGGACATGGCTACATTACCTCGGCTGCTGATCAGTGGATCATGAATATATATATGTATATATATATATATTATGAGATCGGATATATGTTCTTCTATGCATTACACATTTCATGACAGAGTTGTTTCACAGGGAATACAAGCAAATTCTGATGTCACCAGCTTTAATTTAAGTACATACGTATACATATATATATGTATATACATATACGGCGATGCTTACGTATAAATGTATAAGTGGTTATAAAAAATATTTAAAATTGAAATTTAATTAGTTAAAATCAACTACGAAAGCAGTAAATAGGTGTACAATGTGTATGTCAAAGTAACAACTAACATAATATAGACATATTTACATTAGATATATATGTACATACATACATATACATGTATGTACGTGCACATATGTAGGTAGATGCATATGTAAACATAGCGGTATTTATTACGGATCCCATCTTTTTAAAAGCTAATCGAACTGACCCTCAATCGGCGTGGGCTGCTCAACATCGTATATTAAATGCGCAGAACATCGGCACTTCTGCCAACCAACAACAAAACGAACTCTCGACTGTGAAAACAAAAACAATAATAATTAGTATAACAGAAACAGCAACGCAACAAAATGCCAAACGAAAACAAACAAGTAAAAGTGCTCTAGTCGATAATGTCCCACTAAGAGAGATACCCTTCCCCTTGCTCTGGGTTGGCATATACACATATACACATATACATACATACATATGCGCATACAAAAACGAAGCGCACGCCGCACATTTAAACAGCGGCTGTGTTTCTTCGTTTTATAAAATATTCACTTGATCATAACTTCTGATACATCCAAAATAAATAGACACAGTTAACAAAAAAGTGAGATAAACGTTATCTGTGCTGTATTTGTGTCTGAATACCAAACCTAGTGTTCTTAGCTTTAAGAAGTATTTTTAGAAATCGGAGCCAAAAGCAGTATCAATTAAAATCGAGTATACTCCTCTTAACAATTTGGGTACAGGGTATGAAAAGCAGGCAAAGCAAGCAATCGGCGACCGGCTTCTCTTCTTTTTCATGCTTTGCAGCTACACACACACACACGACTGCGCGTCAGCAGCTGCGCCACGCATGTGTTCATTCAATAGCTGTTCCACTGCCTCTCTTGTCTACATAAAAACACTCACACAGATATGAATATTTCGAATGCTGCCGATGGCAGCGCAGGCGCAGCTCATAGACGGCAGCGACGTTGGCTTCTTTACTGCCAATGCCTTTGCGTCGCGTTTAAAATGTCGCATTCGGCGACGCTTAGAGCTCAGTCTAAAAACGGCAGTTAGAGCGATTGACCAGTCAGCTGCTAGTCCTGCTACTAAAACCAATTACAGGCGTTTGTTTTTGTTTTTGTTATTTTGTTATTTTGCTTATTCGTGTTTGGAATTCGAACTTCTGTCTTTTGTTCGCGTTTTGTGTTGCGCCAGCTTTTATCGCTGCAGAAAAAAACAAATCAGAGAATTAAATAATTAAGTTATAATTATAGGAATACAAAAACAAAATGACGCAACCGGTAAAGTTCTATTTTGATTTTTTGAATCAGTCTAGCCGATCCCTCTACATACTTTTGGAGGCATCAAAAATTCCATTCGAAGCGATACCTATTTCTATGGTCAAAGGTAAGTTGAGTACGTGCCCAAATGCTCGTCATCAGCCTTTACCAGCCCATAGACTCAAACACACACACACACACACACACACACACACACACACACACACACACACACACACACACACACACATATGCACACTCACATACATACTCAATAATCAATTCAAATACAACATATGCATGTATTATGCACTTTAGTCTATTTCTGTCTCTTTCTTAGTGAGTCTCTGATATTTTATGAGTATTTTCAAAAATTTTCCACTTGTTTGAAATTCCGCTTATCAAGTTTCCGAAGGGGAAAGTGCAAAACTTGTCTACATACATACATAAATGTGTACGTATGTAATAGACAGGTATGCACGCTTAATGTCACTTTTAAAAAGTATTGTAAGCTAATACATGATAATCTATGATAATTGAACTAGAAACATAATTTATAAAAATTGTTTCGTTGGTCATTATCATACTTGTTGTCGGAATTAAATCTCCATTAGTCTCATATTAAAAACTTTGAAACATTATTTCAGAGCGCAAAATTCAAGAGGGTATAGCTAGCTATCTTCTAAGTGCTGAAGATTATATACCCTCAGATTATGTACTCACATCCCCAATAAAAAAAATTAAGAACTTAATCAATCTTTCATGTTTAGTTTATAAGATACAGTAGTACGATGATGGTGTGACTTTGCTTGGGCGGCTTAAGAAATCACATTTTGATACAGTTCAATTTTTGTCAGATTGTTCCTATGGGAGCTAAATGATATAGTTACTCATTATTGATAAGATTTTGCAAAACGTTCAAAAAACATATAGAACTGTCAAGGCTATATCAAGTCGACTGTTGATACTGATAATGCATATAGTATATACCTTTAATGGGGTCGCAGATATCTCCTTCGATGCATAGCACACTTCGTATAAACATTTTATTAATTTATTACCTATCTATGTTCACCAGTCAACCATAATTGTGGCTTTTGGAAATAACTACTTATTTATACATGTGTACATACATATGTAGTATGTAGGTCGCCAAAAATTTATTACGCTTGGTGTGCTTACATAAATACATATGCATATATAATTTGTATATTTCAATTCAAATTAAATGTTTGCACTGCCATGATTAAATTTATTCATATACATACATATGTATATAAATATAATATATATTTGTGTACAGGTGTGCATATGTGTAGGAGTGCAAACATTCACCTCTAGCTGTACCAATATATCGGTTTATAATGCATTTCGCACCCAGCTGCAAAGTTTTCTTATGTGGCCAAAGTATGAAACGCGTTTATAAATAGAATCAGAAATATTGACACACTTGTAATAAATAAAACAAATAAAAACAAGTATAAGTACTTTACTCGGTAGAGCCGGACTAGGATATACCCTGTGCCCAGCATCGAGAAGCAAATGAAATTAGTAAGAAACGTGATTTTAAAGTTATTTATGAATATTTACTAGTTATGATTGTTTTTGATATTGGGTAACAAATTTCAAATTCATATCTGGCGTACTTTTAAAATGATGTATGAAAATGTTGTTTGCTACATTTATGTAAATATAATTCATTTGATTTCTGATAAATTGATAGATCTATTGAAAAATTATAGATATTCGACGTAAGCCTGGGTTCATAGATGTGGGCAACGATCCGAACCATAAGCCGTTAGCTGATCTACGTTTCCGTGTTGTACGTTATATAAATTGCCACAAAATCAAAATACCCTTTGTCTTAGCCATTTAAGCACAGGATATTAAACAAACAAAAATTTCTGGTTTGCTTAGCTGCATGTATGGCGCAGTAGAGATTAATCTGGCACAAAATGAAACTTTTTTTATTTGCAGAATAGTGCAAATTGCTCAAATTAATTTAAAAGATCTTCCAAGAACAATTTGTTTACCCTGAACCAATTGATAATGGTTAAGAAGAGTATGATGGTTTTGTGCAAATGTGTGCTACAGACGGATCCCTCAAAAACGTGGAACACATTTTTGTTAAAAATGTATGCTATTTTTGATCCAAAACAAAACGTATTTTTTTTTTGCTTATTTAAAAATTATTTATCTATTTATTTTTAGTTATATTTACACTCTGTTTCCATTAAAAAGGGTTAAGAAAGGGGGCATTGCTTTTTGCAAATTTATTTAACATGCACAACTAAGCATGTCGCACCTCAAAAAGTATATATACTCATGATTCAATTAATTTAGTCATGTTTAAAACTGGTAGATATCGATTTGCACAGTTTTTCCGCACCCTAGTAGATGTGACTCAAAAATTGTTACACTTTTACGCGAATATACACGAGTTCATATATCAAGTTTCAAATATCAATCTTTACGTTACGTTTATGCGGGCTTACGGACTGACTAGCAGACAGCAAGACGGAATACTCAGTTGTGGCTTCCATTTAGAGGCAAAATGTAACTAAGCTCATTGAGGTAGTACATGTGTACAGGTAGTACATGTGTACACTGTGCAAACTTAGATACTCGACTCGTGCACATGCAACCAAGTCTGCATCTGCATAAGGCTGTCTGCTCTGTAGACAAACGTCAATGCCGTGTTTCGGGGCCAGTGGCCAGTCGCCAAATAAATATCACTGGCAAAAAGTGAGCTTAAGTGGCACAACTACTTAAAAAAAGTCGTCGTTTTTGGAAACTATTGAGCTTAAAGTCCAACTGCGAGCAAGTTTGGCTGCACTTGCACTACGACAGCAAGGAAGCCGCCGGGTAAGCTCTTAGTTTATCTGCAATTTGCATGTAACAAATGCGGATGTTGGCGATCGGAAAACTCGAGATATTCATGTCTGAAGTCAAAAAGTTGTATGCTTTTAAATGCCTACTTAACTTATAAGTATATAGGTATTATAAGTATTTAGCGCATAGTTTAATGCTCGATCTAACAAAGCAACGACATTTAACCTTGACTAAGTCCATAACTAACAACCATCGCTTGGGCCATGTTTGACTTGGTTCAGTTTGGTTTTTATTTGGCAAAGCGATGCAAAACACAATGACACAGCATTTTTTCGGAAATTTGTAATACTTTTATATATAGTGCTGTTTTGTTATACCCTGAACCATTTTAGAAATGGGTATAATGGTTTTGCGCAAATGCACGTAAGAGCCAGAAGAAAGCATCTCCGACCCAATTAAATAGATATATTCTTGATCAGTATCAATAGTCGTTATCCGTTATCCGTATGTCCGCGAAGTACTAGTTCTTTTTTCGATATCGATATCATGTTTTTGAGCATATCTTAAAGCTTATAAGAGTAAGAGACACGAAATTTGGCATATAGACTCTTGTACAATATACATAGTAATATTATACATTTACATATCCCCCCAGTTCCTTCTAAAATTGAAAAAAAACCAAGTTTTAGCGGTATATTCTTTGGCTGTGGGATTTAGTCACATTCTGATTTCATAAAGATCGGACAATAAGCACCGAAGTAAATTGGGAAAGATTTTCCCACAGTGTGTGGCTAAGTGAAGAAGAAGCTGCGTATTTGGCTTGAGTGTGAGTACCTGTGCAATAGGAAGGTAAAATGCACGTGACAGCAGCTCGACGTGGGGTTTTAGTTATCTGTTAGTATTAAAGTACTCTTATTGTTATTGTATGTGTAAAAAGGTATGGTTTCGCATAGTATATAACTGGCAGAAGGGGCATGTCTGACCCCATAAAGTATTTATACTTAATCAGGCCAATGAGTTGAGTCAATTTAGCCATGTTCGGGTGTCACTCCGTCTCTGTCTGATACGATACAAGCTAGAGACTTTAAATGCTTACTTAAAACGAGTTCATCACTTTTTGTCAATAGATATCGATCTGTCTGCTACATACATTTGGTCAACATGCATCGAAGATTTTTACCCATTCAAAGGGTTTGGTGTATGGGAAAAAACAAATGCATATGTGTGTACATAAATACATATTATCGAGCCTGTGAGAAATTCAAAGTAATAATAAGTATGCTTGTTGTGTTTTCATTTTCTTTAAGGTGAACACTTAACGGGCGAGTTTCGAGACAAAGTCAATCGGTTTCGCAAGCTGCCCGCAATCACCGATCAGGGATATCAACTGTCCGAGAGCGTGGCCATCTTCCGTCATCTAGCTCGCGAGAAGCTAGTGCCCGAGCACTGGTATCCGCATCGTTATCTAGGTCGCAGCCGCATCGATGAGTATCTTGCTTGGCAGCAGTCCAATATGGCAGTGGCCTGTACCGATTATTTCCAGCAAAAATGGCTGGTGCCTTACCTGCAGAAAACACGACCTTCCGATAGTGCGGTAAGTTTAACTACTTTCCTGGTAAAAGGAAATAATGCTTTTGTGCCAGTGCATGTAACATGTTGAAGAAAGCACCTAAGTAGAGGAAAGAGACCAAGCCACACTCGTCTATCTCAGAGTCTTTAAAAGCTAGGGAGTTGAAAATTTGATTATTTGAAAACATCAAAAGCTTGCTCCATTTCAACGAAATCTATAAAAGTCGATATCAATATTCTGCTTTTTGAGCATATCTCGGAGCTTATAAGAGCTAAAGCCATCAAATTGGGTATGAGGACTATCGTTTGCTATACTCAGATCTAGACGATTCAGATCCCTCGTATCCACACAAAGTTGTTAAAACTCATTTATGAAACTATATCATTAGAAGCGGGAGCACTCTTACTTGTGGTAAATGAATGCTTAAAAGCGATCTCGAATTCTTGCATTTTCCAAATTTTTATTTCGTGATGTATAAGCTGTCAAAGTGAGTCCGATCGGACCAAAATAAACGTTAGTCCAAACAAACTTTGACATTTATTCCTGTTGAGGTTGAAATGTGAAATAAATTTGCACGAATCTATTTGAAAATGAGTTCGAATCCGATCGGATGGGAAACAGTTACAAGTGGAATAATTTAAAATCCATTCTTAGTATGCATTTTTCATGTAAGTCTTACATCGCATAAAGTTTGGGCTGTCTGTATTTCAGTCTTTCAGGATAAATAGCTATAATATATACATATATACATACAAATATATGACATATCCCAAAATTCATACATTCTATGTGCAGGTTAATGTAGCTAGCAAGCAGCTGGAGCACACACTAAATGACTTTGAGGAGCTGTTCCTGAATTCTCGAAAATTCATGTTGGGCGATAACATATCCTATGCGGATTTGAGTGCAATCTGTGAAATTGACCAGCCCAGTAAGTATTGTTTATACAAGTTCTGCTTGCCACAAATAATTCTCGCATTTACTTATTCTCTTTTGTTTCTTCTTCTTCTTGTAGAGTGCATTGGCTTCAATGCCTTCAAAAATCGAAACAAGCTGGCGCGCTGGTATGATATGGTGCGCGAAGAGTTGGGACCCTATTACAAAAATGTCCACAAAGAGTTCGAGTCCAAGTTAAAACTGAACAATGGACAGCAGCAGCTCGGCGAGGCGCACGCCCTAAAGCAATGACCAATTACCAGATATGTCTTGCATTTATTATATCTGTATATACCCTGTACACATTGAAAATGGTATGATGTTTTTGCGCAAACGTATGTACCAGGCAGAAGGAAGCATCTCCGTTCCCATAAAGTATTTAGTATAGCCATGTTTGTCTGTCTGCCTTTTTTGTCTGTTCCTATGCAAATTGGACCTCTGGTTTTCGGGCTTTCTCGATTAAACTTTGCCTCGTTCCATCATTTTTATATGTTCATATGAGAAAAATGTTCTGTTTTTTTAAAATATCCCAACCGAGCTGATTAAATTCGTGCTAACATTTAAGCGTAGTTGTTCATATAGTTCCCATAGGAATAATCAGGGGAAATAGAGTTTTAGATAGAAACATATCGTTCATCTGCAATATGTATACAAGGGTAAATATTTTTCGGCCTCCGGAAATAATTGTTTATTTTTGTTTCTTTTGATTACCTTAGTCAGAAAATTATTTAATAAAATGTTCACTAAAGACGCGGCTAACGCGTAAGTTATTATATATGTAAATACTTAGAAAATAATGTTCAAATACCATATAATATTCCGAAAAAATTAACCTAAGATGACCAAGTGTGTTTTCATACTTTCTTACAAGTAAAGTTAAAGTATAGAATTCCAAAATATATAGACACACTTTTACCACAATTTAAGAGTTGGTCTTGGAACTGAAGCTATAGAGTATCAACCTGTTTGGGCTTTTTATTCCACTGTAATTAGAGCATTGTCCAGTCGGTTGCACCCAACTGTAATGTAGTACGTGTTGCAATTTACCACATAAATTAAATTGTTTTGTTTTTATTTTTATAGTTATACTAAAATACCTTATATATTATTGTACTAAATGAGCCGCATCTTATAAGATATATGTACTCAAATTTAAATTCAAAATAAATTGCACTTTAAGCAAAGTTTATCTGCTGTTTTAATCGAATGCATTGCTTAACTCGGTTTGCGAAGTGAGAACGAGTATATTGGTTTTGTGCAATGTCCGTCATGCTGTCCGTTCGTCTGGCCACCTATTCAAATGAACGCAACGCTTTCGCCAATGTTTTGAAATCAGAGTCTTGAAACTTGTGTATTTATTTACATCCGTGCTCGACAGCGTTAAAACTGTTTGGCCTCTAATGGGCGCGCAGGCCCAAATATCTATATCTCCCACAGTTCTTCAGTGAAGCCGCCAATTCGCCCAGAAATAAAAAATCGTAAGAAAATGTATGGCAACAGCGCTCTAGAGAGGCCTTGCTCTTATTTAATATAACCCCCGAGGGCAACATCGCTTAGGGTATGCGCCAAACGCCTATCAGTACTCATTACTCAATGGAACAACATGGAGTAATAAGACTTATAAGTACTCATTAATCCATGAAACAAGATAAAAATATGGCCCTTCACTTTAGGTCCCACATGAACTCCGTTTCTGCTCTGGTCCTAAGCTCGCAGGCTCTCTCAGAGAGTGTGTGATAGCACTTAAGCATATACTCTGTGCGGCAGAGCAAGGTCAGCGATATATTCTGTATTTTATTTTCCATTGCATACATAAAATTATTAATAAATTACATTATCAATTAATTAACTAAAATTAACATTGATTTCAATAGACTACGTGGAAACCACCGGATACTCCAGATACTACCTATTTATTGTAATTGTAATTGAACGTAACTTCAGTTACCATTCGTCTGTGACAGGACAACGTAGGTTGGCATTGGTAATATATTGCCGAGGGGTACGTCGTTATCGCTGGTGAGGGTATATTTAACTTGCTGGTATTCGCGACTTTTGCGATTGTTTTTTGCCGATTGTACGACCCTACTTATTGCATCTTTATTTGTCTATTATATTATTTTTCATGTTTTTGTTTTGGTGATTATTTTCTACCGCAAACTCTATAATTTATTTTTTTTTCCTATTACATAAGTATTAATTATTCTTATTCGCTTGTAGTCAAAAGGCACTGCCGCATTGTTTGCTGTGGCTTGTATTCAGCCATATATATTTTTTAATTTCATATTATTAATTTATGTTGTATATAATTATGAATGTATTATTCTGATTCAGTGTGATTTTGCCTTATATATTTTCTGAACTCTACATCGATTAAATATTGTTCATATTACTCGTATGTACCTTAAAAAAAATAACAAAAACAAAAAAAAAAAAATATATATATATATATATATATATATATATATATATATATATATATATATATATGTATATGTATATGTATATGTATATATGTACGAGCGGGTATAGCCCGGACTTGTCCGTGGCACTTATAAAATAATTTTTTTCAAAAAGCATTGAAAATGATTTTGAAACCGATCGGATTTTAAACAAATACCTTTCATACAGCCGTTATTTTACTTTTTTTAAAAGTTCGCTCAAGAAATCTTTGAATCGCACTTGGATATGAATTTGATCGAGAAAAGTCAACCACAAAAAAGCTTTATCCCAATTTCCACCAAGGAGGAATGCATTTTTCGAAAACTGCGAACAAAGATCTTTGAAAATGAGTTTGAGGCGGATCGGAAGGTTTATAAAAAACTTTAATACAAGCGTTTATCGCTAATTAACCCCTGTTGTGGTGGTCGAATTAGCCAATTCGCTGAAACACGTTCAAATTAACTTCTTATGTAGAGCCTTGAAAATAAGTTTGAAGCAAATCGAATAAAACTTAAAACCTCCTCAACAAAAATTTGAATCGCACTCTCTACCGTGGATGCTGTGATTTTGCGAAAAATGTGAAACACGTCTGAAACTATTTTTCATATAGATCCTTGGATATGAATTTGAACGCGAAAAATATTCATTTTTAGTTGAACTATGTCGACCTGTCCATGTCCGAAATCTGTTCACCTGTATGAACGCGTCGATCTCTGAAACTACTAAAAGCAGATGCTTGACATTTGAAACATTTGAACCAAACATAGAACTAGTTTAAAAGGCAGGAGGAAGCATCTTCAACCACAGAAAGTGTATTTATTCTTGGTCAACACCAATTGATCTAGCCAAGTCCCTATGTCTGTCTATCCGTCCGTCCTTAAGAGCTCGATATTTCAAAAATTGAACGTAGGTATTCCTTGTTTCCATGCTGTCCGACCTGCTCCGTTTCCATGAAATCGATAAGAATCCATATCGAAATCCTGTTTTTTAAGCTTAGCCATCACATTTGGAATGTCGATTCGTATGCTATACGCAGATCTTGAATGTTTTAGTTTTTATACATCTCCCGACAAAATTGAAAATACAGGCATTTATAGATGTATAGTCTTTATATTTACACACATTTATACGGCATACTCATGCCCAAACGATCGGACAATAAACTCCGAAGTAAGTCACAAAAACACATTTTGTAGTGTGGTGGTAAGGAAAGAAGCAGCGCAGTCACTGCGCAGCCACAGAGTAAGTTGCACAGTTAACGGCGTGAGTGCGTGTGTGTAGAGGGAAGCAAGAATGCTTGTGAGGCGAGCTCTTGTAGGGAATCTCCAAGTAGGTCACTCCCGACTAAAGCTCTCTTACTTGCTTGAAAGCCCTAATATACAATTTTGCTTTTCAAGAACACATGTATGAAACATAGTGAATTTGCACATATGTGTATGTGTGTTTATATGTGTGTTTTTGTGTAAGTGTGTATAGAATAAAGCTGGAAGGTGTTTAAAGATACAAAGCTCGGCGAGTGGTTCAGAATATCTACTACTCGAGTGCACCCGACTAGAACACTTTTGATTTTCCTTTTTAATTCCCATATACCTTAGATTTACAATTAAGCTTGAAACATTTACAATATAGTTTGAAGCACACAAAAATTGATTTAGTCCTTTACTTGCAGAACTTAATTAATTAATACATTCATATGTACATACATATTACATAATTTCATCAATGATACATTGATGTTATAGCTGTTGCTGCATGCTTTTTGTGCAATAGGAACACGGTCGGCCTGCTTAGTTACAAGTATTAGCCAACTATTTTTTTTTGAATTGTCTACCTAATTATATAGAATAGTACGTACGAACAAATCCATTCATAAACCATTTTCAGTTGTGTATTTATTTTAGTCAATTTGCCAGAAAACACCAAAAAAAAAAAAAAAACAAGTGAGAACATTGCAATTGAAATCCCCGCTTAATCTTGTTTTCAGTCAAATGGTGTCGAGTCTTGAAGATTGTGAGTGGAAATGACGACAGCGTCGGTTATTTCACGATGTGGTTAGTAATTCCAATAACATAACATGGCCACTCCAAAATAATGAATGTAAACTTCAAAACATACAAATTTTGGCATTTTGAAGTGAAGAGAGTGGGGGACGTTGGATCAATATAAAAATTTCATAGGTAAAAATACGAATAAAAGCGACTTTATTTTAAATTTTTGTATGGTTTATACTTAGTTGAAGTTGAGATTAACAAGTGCTCTGAAGACACAACCTCTGAAAATCAATAATATTCAGAGCAAGCCTAAAAGTCTAAGATGTTTTTTGATTTAATTTTTTTTTTTTTTTTTTTTTTTTGGTATTTTTTGGCACTTTGATTTTAGGCGATCTAAGGATGACCTACTAAGCTGCAGTTTGATTAAAAGCTTACATCTATAGGTGTTTGAACTATCTCTGCCGTTTTGTGGGGGCGGCGTGTATTATTCCAATTGCTCCCCGTGCCCAGATTCGTCGATGGTATCCTCATCGTGCTCATTCAATAATGGGCTGTCATCACCCAATCGATTGGGCGGGAGTCCGCTGCCTGGCGTTGTTGGTGCCGAGCGAGATATCCAACCCTTACGGGCCACCCGTCCGCGGTTAACAAAAAAGTTAGCACCGCTGACAACGCTACTAATGGGGCTCTTGAGCACACAGCGTTGGGCAGGCGGTGGCGCCATTACTGCCATTGGTATATATAACGCCTTATTAGGCGGCTTCGACGCATAGAACTTTTTTCCTTTACTGGGAGTCGCTGATGTCGGCGTTGTTGACATCGGTGTTGATGCGGTGTGTTGCAGTGTGGCGGGTCGTGTTATTGGCCTGGACAGCGTGTGCTGCAAACGTGGCTTAGCACCACCGGTAAGCAGCAGCTGTTCGTAGCTGACGTCCGCTTGTAGCTTACTTATTTGGTCGAGTATTTCGCGCACCTCGCCGGTTGGGCTAGTAGCTTGGGGGGGAGAGCCAGGCGTGCCAATATTTGAGAGGCTACTTACTCCAGACACTGTGCTGGCTGTTGTGGGCGCCGTTACCGCTGCAGCCGCTTCCTCCGCTGACACTAACTGGCAGCAGTTTTCTAAACTGTGCAGCGGATTGGACTGTATGCAAGCATTGTTGTAAATGGCTGGTGTGCCCCCGGCTGCTAAAGCCAGGCTGCACAATGAAGATGTCTGTGTGGCCCCTCCACTTGCAGCTCCACCCACATCTGGTCCAGCCACTCCTAAGCCCGCCGCACAGCTGTTATTCACAAATATATCACTGAGGCTGCTGCGGCTGTTTACCATGTAGCGGAAATGCTGATCGCTCTGCGACTGCAGAAAGCCTCCTCCAACGCCACCGGTATGCATAAGGCCAGCCGAGTCAACGGACGACTCACCCGGCGAGAAGTGTCCGCTGTGCGAGTTATGTAACCGTGTACTATAATGCGCTGTGCCAGCGCCAAGTCCTGTATTTCTGTCCACTGCAACGGTAGCATAGTGGGCTCGTGGCTGATATTCTGGCTCTACCAGCTGGGATGCGGACCGTGGCAAGCCGTATTGCGGCGCTGCTAATTGCGAGCTAGGTGGTGGCTCTCTGTTTGCACCGTAATGTAGGCTTAGCTCAGGGCTGGCCGCTCGTGAGTAGGGTGGCGGCACCAATGTGTTGGCCTCGTTGATATTGCAAATGAAGCTGGAGCTAAGCGAGTCAACAGTGCTGGCGGCACTCAGTGAGCCCGTTGGACGCACAATGTAGTTGCGAAAATATTGCACCATCAAATAGCTGGAGCCGGCATTTCCCTTGCTATTTTCGTTGTTGCATGTAAAAACGAGCGGGTATAGATCCGGTTTCGATGCCACCTAATAAGTAAGTGAAACTCGTTTCAAATAAACACATTTAAGAAATTGACCAGGTAATTGAAAATCGGCCATCTCAAAGTATATTGAAACTTACCTCCGTGTACGGCGGGGGAGGGTGATGAAACGAATTGCAGCGACTATATTGCGGCGGTGCATAGCAGGAGCCGGCCGAATCTCCCTCGGATTGTGTATGATGCTCCGTAAAACCCCAGCCACAGAGTGTACGTCGCTTTTTCCACAACGAGTAGGCACAAAGTATGGCTAAAATGACGGCCACCACGACGCACCTAAGAGGGGAATAACATATTATTACGATTGCTGAGAGGTATACACAAATTATAAGAAGCTCTCTTACTGCTCCGTTTGCAGCTGGCGTGTCTGTATGAAAAAGCCCATAAAGGGAACAGGACCAGGCACAAGTGTAGGTGCAAGAAAAGGCGCGGTAAGAGGGCTAAGATAGTAACGGCCGGCTCCGTTCGTAATCGAATTCCAACTAAATGAGCTGCCTGTTTGCTTGGCTTTTCGGCGACGCTACATTTGATTATGTGAACAGGCGTTCGACAAGCAAAAGAGAAATTGCGGTAGGAACAGTGACAGACAGTGTCTCATTAGTTGGCAATGCCATTTGCCGCTTTCTGTCTCGTCTGGGGATCCGGGGCCGACTTGCATAAGGCGTTGTTTTGACTTGACACAACTCAGTCAGGGGCCAACTTGCTGCCAATAATAATACTCATACTCGTGTTTATATTGGCATATACCATAGCACACAATGCGAATCAGCCCCGGCAAAGTTACCTTGAACGCTTTGCAGAGCTTCTCGTCACAGGGGACTGTGACTGCAACCATGATGATGATATATATGTTATTATCTGCATTTTCTACTTACCAAAAGAACCAATGGCTGATAAAGAATAAGTTCAGTACATGCTCCGACGGTGGGGGTAGCTGTCGCGGTCCACTTTGATATGGTGGACAACAACCCTGGGTGCAGCATTCGCGTGGCAGCGAACATATGTGCCCGCCCTCGCAGAAGCGAGCCGTGACCTGCAAAGTGCAATAGAAAAGAAAGGGTAATGGAGGACAGGTTGGCTTGTGACCTTATTTGTATGCTATGAGCACTAATAACTATTAATAAACATAAGAGCTTCGAGAAAGAAAATTAGTTACTAGAATTACCAATTTCAATGTAAAATAGTCCAGAGCTAAATTACAATAGCAAAAAAAAAAAAGGAAACAAAACAAAAAACATGATAGAGTGCTCTAGTCGGGAGTGCCCGCCTAGGAGATACCCTAAACCCACCGTTGAGTTGACAAGCATTCATGCATAAGCACGCAAGTTCTTCCCTTAAGCCCAAAACGCATTGTTGATTAATTTGTGTAAATATCAATATTCCGAATATACATCCAAAAATAGTTTTTTTTTTTGATTTGGTTTGAGCGAGGGAACGTATCCAAAAAATTAAATATGGGTATGGGCATACTATACGAGAGCCTAAATACTAAATTTGGTGCCTCTTGCTAAAATAAGCTACAAGGTAGAGCCAAAAGCCAGAACAGCTATATTGATTTTTAACTTTGCAAACTTGGCACTATGAGGACCTACGTTTAAAATTGCAGGATCCCAGCATAGATATATGTATGTATACATACAATAAGTATTTATTCTTGATCAGCATCAACAGCCGACCTCATCTAAACAATGTGCCTGACTATTGGATTCAGAGCACCCAAATTCGAAATACAAGTTTCCAAATACCATACGCAGCCGAGTTTATTTCAAATTCTTGATAGTTCGCCCCGTCGAACCCCCGTGGACTGAAAAACTATAAGAGCTGTATGCACCAATCTTTGTATGTTGATGTTGGTATAATCCTCGAAATTTAATAAGAATCCATTGGATTTTAGATTTCCTATATGGACACATTTACATTTAATATTTGGGGCGAACATGAAATGAGTAACAGTCTGTAGTAAGCATCTCTGACCTCATTAAGTATATATGTACATCTTATTTATTTGTCTATCCATCTGGTCGACAGTAGGTATGCGTCGATCTCTGTAACTCAAAGAACAAATACTCGCGTATATATTTAATGCATTTCCATTTCTACAATATCATTCTGACACAAGATTTCGTAGCTTATAAAAGTTGGAAACGCAAAATTTTGTAAATGTGTTCTCGTATTGTATATACAGGCTGTGAATATTTACTTTGCTATTTTTGAAGCTAGAAAAAACACATTTCAAGGGATACAGCCAAACAAACTTGTAACGATAGCTTGGCACCATTCAAGTACACGGTAACTTCTAGTCGGGCGCAACCGACAGTGCACTTGCAGTACATCACTTTTAATACCCTGAATCCATTGAAAATGGGTTAAAAGGGTACAATGGTTGTGGCACATGGAAGCATCTTCGACGACATCAAGTGTTTACATTCCTGGTCAGCGTCAAAAGTCGAGTATGTCGAGTATGTGTAGTATGTAGCCGTGTCTGTCTGTCCGCAAACATAGCAGGTAGGCTTGAAAGTGTGCGTGTATGATTTCCTGGTGCCCGTGCACTGCGAGTTTACTTTATATCATCGATAACTTGGCCCGTGTCCATCAATTCAAAATAAGTCACGAAAGCATTTTCTTAAGCGTGGGGCTAGGGAAGAAGCAGCTCAGCCGCAATGTAAGCGGCGTTCGTGAGTATGTGCAATGTGTTTGCTTGGTGTATATGTGTGTAGAAGTTAGCCTAGTCGAGCACTCCCGACGAGAGAAATCATACGTTTTTTTTTTGATAATTTGGCAAAAGTTACGTGAACTAAGGCCACAAAATCATTGCGTTAAATGAATATGTTTGGCGACTTACTTGAACGGGCAGCCATAGTAGAATGAAAAACATTGGAAATAATCGGAGCATCGTTGAAGCATGAAACCACATGGTGGCCACACAGTTGTCCGACTGGCGCCAAATGTCGATTGGGGTGGCTTGCTTGTCTGGGGTTGTTGTGTAGCTGCAGCCTCCGTGGTTGGTCGTGTGATTTGCTTTTCTGTTTTGTTTTTCTTCGGTATTTTCGCTGCTTGATTGTTTGAGATACTTTTTTGTCTTAAGGGTTTTGGTGGCGTTTTGCTTGAAAACACACATACACACATGCACGCCCACACACACACAGGCAAAATGCACGCCAGTCGCTACATGGCAGGAAGTTTTGTTTTGTCCTTGACAGAAAATGCAATTTTTCGCTGCATACTTTAGGTCGTCGTCGAACGAGCTGCTTGCCTTTGTGCTTAGCTTTTGCCAGAGTTGTTGTGTTTATGACGTTAACTGAATAAAATATTTATTGCAACGTTATCTACTCAGCCATTAAAAAGTTGGTGTGTGTGCAACAGACAGATATGTTGCTGTGTCATCTATTTGGACAACATAGTGCTTAGTAGCAAATACGCGAACACACACGCAAATATTCTGCAAACTTTAATTTGTTTTTATTTTTTTTTCTTGTTTGATTGTGTTCATCTTAATACACACAGAAAGCCACACCATCGCGAAAATGAGAAAATTTTCTCGCTATCGTGTAACAATAGGGCCGTTTTTGTTTCTATTTCTGTTTCTGTTTCTGTCGCTTTAACTGGGCACTAACAGTATTTGTTCTCTCTGTTGTTAACAAGGCAACAATTTGAGGAGCTTGCTGTTGTTGGTAGGCAGTGTGCAGTAAACAATTACAGAATACTAAAATATTGTTGCGCACCAGGGAGCAGGTGACTGTCACTCAGAAACAGGGATGTGGAGACTGCGACAACAGTGGAGTGTCGCTGAGAAAATGAGAGCGAGCATAGAGTCGCTGTCGACGTTGAATTCGTAATCGAACTTGGAATTAAGACTTCATTGTCGATTGTATAAAATCAAGCGTAGAACGCGCACAACAACAACTGGAAATGGCTAACAAAATTAGAAACAGCGACAGGCTTGCCAAGGCAACTGGGTATGCAACCAAACTTGTATCTATTTTTATAAGGGCTGCCAACCCTTACAGCTGACAAAAGCTTTAGGTGAGCTTTAAGCTAACAATAACCCTCATTGATTAATAGGTTACTATATAGAGACGAAGAGTCACTCCGAGCTTTTAGTGCCACCTTAAGGAATTTACGCCGTACTTGGGCTTGGTCTGCAAATACAATATCAAACACAAAAACTCAAGCACATTTTCCAAAGTAAGCGACAACAAATCTGTTGAAAAACAGCAATAATGCGCTTGAAATGCGGGCATGTTTTCGTCCTTTATTTTGATCGAATGATTGTTTGTGTGCAGGGCTTCGAGTCATTGGATGATGCAAGAAACCAGAACTAAGAATGCTGTTGAGTTTGTTGCAATATTCTGTGTCTCTCTGTCGGCTAGTTTGCCATTTAAGGATGTTGCTGCAGAGCCGAGTTCCGGCGCCAATGGGTAGACAATTTGTTTGCCAGAAGGCCGTATTCAAAACGAAAGGTTACGCACACGACGCGACCACATCATATATGTACATATTGTGACGTTAGACTTTTGTTTAGTTAACATTCGTTCTATCACCATGTTAATTTCAAATACATAATAATGAAGAATTTAATTTTTAAAATTAAATTAATTTAATTTTGTAGAATTTACAAGTTTAAAAAAATATCGCTGCGCTTAGTAACAACAATCGCACGATTTTCACAAATATGTCTGTGTTGAGGCAGACATCCCAGCAACTATTTGGTACGTCGGGGCAAAGATATCTTTATTTATTGTAATAGTGTATAATGTTTTAAAGACACATGGACACAATGAGAATTTCTGGAATATGTAAACTAGGTATGGCATCTGATTGACACATTTCCACTCAGTTGATACATCATTTACAGACTCTTAATTGGACATAAAAAACACTAGAGAGTCGCCGTTCATAATTGTATTGTGAATTTTAAAAAATGGTAATCATTTTTATACAATTGGCCGTTAAAAAGAGTCAGTTTGTATAAGCCATAAATTTCGCATTTAATTTATTAAGATAAATCGCCAATTGTTGGTTCTTAACATTTAAGTTCAATATAAGAAGCGGTTGATGTTGTCTTAGCTTTGTCTAGTTTCCAGTCTACGGTGGTGGAGCTGAAAGCCTATTAAAAGTCCTTGTTGCTTTCCCAGGCATTGTGCACACCATGGTAGCTGTTCTGCTTCTGGGCAGGTGCGTTACGACCGAAGGGGCTCTTAGGATTAACCTGCAGGATGTAGTCGCCCTCGATGTCGTAGGCAGCGTCAATGCCCATGTATGCCCGCTTTCCGAATCCATCATTCTGCTTGTACTGTTTCAGCGAGTTTGCGGGAACAGCGGGGAAGCTGCGCTCATTGCCAGGGCGAACGGACTCGGCAAAGTAGCGGGTGGCACGCATGGAGGCCTCCACAACATTTTCAGCACCGGGAACACCAGCTCCCAGTCCATTGGGGTAAAAATCAACATCACCGCTGCGAATAGGCGTGCCCATGCCGTAGACGGACGTGTGGATAGCATCAACGAACTCGGCATCGCCGCGGGCCAGACCGGTAAGTGTGTAGCGGTTCTTTGCAACAATGTTGCTGGGGTCCAGACCAGTGACACGGCGCAGCTTATGGCCAGTCAAGCGGGTGAACTCGTTGGCAGCAGCGCCAGCAACATGAGCGCCTACGTTTTGGCCGATCATATGAATGGTCTCATGGGGCAATTGCAGTTCGCTGGTCAGTTCCACAATCCACTTGCCGATCTTAGCGCCGGTCTTCTCAATGTCCAACATAGCGTAGCGCTTGTAGTTGGTCAGGGTAGAGCCCAAGTCAATAACCTGTCGAAATTATTCATGTTTGTTTAGTTTGGTAAATGTTAAAGGTGTTTTGCTGTTGTGCCAAAAAGCATGTGCTTACAATAATGTCGCCGGTGTTGGTGTTGGCGTTCTTGGCCTGCTCGCTGTAGTCCTCCTCGCTGGAAGTGCGCTGACGCTTGTTGTCCTCTTCGGATTCACTGTTGTACTTTTGAGCTTGCTGTTGCTGTTGCTGCAGATTGTATCGTTGCATGTAAGCCTGGACGAGCTTGCGGGTTGCCTTTTTCACGGTCTCGCTTGTCTGAGGAAGGCCAGTAACAATGATGGTAACCTCATCCTGTCCAAAGTTCTGTTTCTGCTTTAAACGCTGGATCATTTCGCTGATTGGAGCCACGATCTTGTCACCATTGGGCTTGGGCACATAGACCTGAATATTGCTGGGCACGAAATTGGGCTCGACGTCGTGATTGATTTGCGACAAATGATCTATCGGAGATCAAGAAAGGCATATCAGCACCACAACTAAGTTTCCAGGTAAATGTTTAAATACATACACACTTGCTGTAACAGCTCAGCGCCCTTCTCTAGGGACATGTTCTCCAATCGCTCCAGGGTTAGCTCATCGACAGCGGGAATGGCCTGCAGCTCTTGCACCGACAGCCACTGCGATGGTTTCAGCGCCTGGCTAACGGTGTTGTCGTGCATGCGGGTGGTGGGGCTAGCCATGGCAGCTACAGCCAGGCAGGCCAGAAGGCTAAGCACTCTTATTGGATTCATGGTATTCTAGATTAGGCGCAACTAGGACTTCAACTACTGCAGGAACTACTATGAGCTCTCGATGTTGCTGTGAGTTGAACTGTCTTCCAGTGTTCCGGGCTCCAGATTTTATAGCATTTAAGGCCATCCACATTTTGCATTGTCAGGCAATTCGGAACTTGATTGATAACTGCAGCGTTGCAATTTTTTGGAATATTCATATAAATACGTTGCCAAACAGGCATGAGATTACCCACAAATTCGCATACATGAAACTACGCGTGCACCTACGTACATGCATACATACTTATACATGCACGTATACATATATGTAGTTTGATAGCCTTAGGCTATCAAATCATTTGTTAAACATTGTTTAATGCCTGCAACAAATTAAAATGCTTGATAACAAAATGCCTAAATGGGCAAAATGTTAATGATTGCACTACGAGCTGTAAATACAAAATAATACTGGCTATTTGTTGCGGAAGTACCCGGCGTTCCCCAGCTCAATGCAATAATTTTGAGCATTCCGCTGGCAGATGTTTGTTTAGCACTTTGCTAAAACATATCAACACAAGACTTTGTAAATGTTTTGTTTAAGCTTTCTAAAATGTCACCACGTGCTTAAACAATTCAAAAAATGTTGTATGTCGACGCGTGGCCGACATTTGACCCTGATTCTTCTTATCATTATTCCTGTTGGCAGCCTATCAACAAATTGCCGCTAAGTAAACGTAACAAACTTTAGGTCAAGAAACTCAAAAACGCGTGCGCATAAAAATTGTTGTTTTTTTGTCAAGTAAGCTAGAAATTACAGAAACACAATTTTAACGTTAACATTGGTTTTTAAACATGCACAAAAGAATATACATATATGGGCGGTATATTTTATTTAAAACGAATATGATTTCCTTTTAAGAAGACAAGGAAGAAAACAAAAATAAAATATGAATTGCTTCTATAAATTTATGATTAATAGCAACACTGACAGTAATCAGCAACTAACTTTATTGTTATAGCCTTAGTATGGATGGTATTGTAGTTTGTTCATTAAATCTGTAACGCATAGAAGGAAACATCTACCACCCAATAATGTGTATATATTCTTGATCAGTATCAACAGCCGAGTCAGAATGGTTGAGTATGCCTTTTTTTTTTTAATCCGTACTAGTCTCTCAGTTTTAAAGCGACCCTAATGAAACTCTGCATAGGTACATGTTTCTTTTGCAAGCAGTTCATCTGTCGGAATCGGTCGGATCGGACAACTTTATCATGCTGAACTTTTTTTTGCACTTTGACCCAAAATCGGCATTAGTTAGGTGCACTATGCTTCTTACATTTGAGCCAAATCTTATCAACATCGGTTCAGTATATCATACAGGTGCCATAAGAATGCTCGGCCAGAAATGAAGTTCTTGTCTGAAGAACTTTCTTGTTAATCAAGATAACTATCAACAATGGACCAACAATTATTCTGCAAGAGTATTTAATGTTCGGCGTGCAAAAGATAGACCGGACATATATTCAAGCACTAAAACCATCATTAAGATCGTATATAAGGAAAAATTGTAGAATGAAAGTGGAAGTAAAATGCGCAATTGCGGTATGCGTGGCTGAGAGTTCATGTGAGTTTTTGTGCTTATACCATATATTAAGTAAGTTCAATATATATATTTAATATATATTAAATGTATTCAATCTACTATATATTAGTCGCGATCCTTCGAATCGTTCTTATTTTCAGATTTTTGCATTTAAATTTGCTTATTATTAAATGATGATTGTCATCATTGTTATCATTATCGCATCATACAATAAATAAAGCTTAATGCTCAATGGTACTGGTAAAAATGAACGTAATGGTCTTCTCAGTAAAGGCGGGTTTTTAATGGTAAGTTCATTGTATCATAGTTACAAAAGAAGCACAATGCAGCACTGCATTTACGAGGTGCAACTTTTGACACAAACAGCACGTAAAAGTTGCCAAATTGGTGGTGTCAATTGCTGACTTTAAATTGATAGGGGCAGCCAATTGACGATCACTGATAAAGCGAAAAATATGAATGTGGAAATTACGGCGTCACCAAATCGATGATTGCAGATTTTCCATTTTTCATATATTATTGTCTAGAATTTCAGCTTCGTTTCCGAAAAGTGCTGAGCAAGATGCATGCACCATGCACCCGTCAGCTACCTAGTGCTTCCGCTGGGCGACACGTGTATGCTGACAGTCAATGAATGTATTATCGTCAAACAAAATCTGGGGCTATAAAACTGCTGTCCGGACAGCTAGCTACATGCAGTACAGCTTGGTACGGCGTCTCGACAATAGAAGTACAAAGCTTTGGTAAAAATGAATCCTCTGCACTCTTTGTGTGTTATGGCCTGTCTTATGGCCGTGGCTTTGGCTGCGAACAACCATAAGCAGTCCAACTCGCTGAACAACTACGAGGATCCCAGCAACTGGGTCAGCCCAAGCGAAATTGAGCAGCTGCCAATGCTCAAGGATGTGACGCTGCGTCGTCTCGAAGGCATGACCGTTGATGAGGGCGCCACTTTGCTGGACAAATTGTGTAAGTAGCTAACTACAATGTAAAGATCGAGTGATTTTCATGATAATTGAATGGGACTATGACACTTTTCAGACCATTTGGCGCAATTCAACCGCATCTTCAAGCCTGATTACGTTCCAGAGCCCAGCAAAATCAAGGGCTACATTGTTGGCGAGCGCAAACAGAAGATCGAGTTTAACCTTAACAACTTTGTGCAGACAGTGAAGCGTCAGACGAACTTTGGCAACGATGAGGTGACCATTTTCATCGAGGGTCTGCCCCAGAGCTGGAACCACGTGAACAAGGCCAACCGCAAGCTGGTCCAGGCTTATGAGCAGCGTTACAACCTGCAGCCCTATCCCGGCCAGCAAGACAGCTCTGAGCAAAAGACCAGTAGCGAGGAGCAGGGACAACAGCGCCGCAAGCAAAACCAAGAGCAAGATGACAACAAAACCGGCGATCTGGTGGTTATCACATTGGGCGATCTTATCGAAGATTTTGAGCAGTACGCTACCCTGAATGTTGAGCGCATCGGCGAGATTATTGGCGATCTTCTTGTGCAGCTTACTAACGAAGTGAACGTGCCCCAGGAGATCATTCATCTGATTGGTCAGGGACCCGCTGCCCACGTTGCCGGAGTTGCTGGTCGCCAGTACACACGCCAGACTGGACACAAGCTGCGCCGCATCACTGGCCTGGACCCCACCAAACTGTACGCAAGGCCGGAGAAAAAGCTGAGCGGTCTGGCTCGCGGTGATGCCGACTTTGTTGATGCCATACACACCTCCGCTTATGGCATGGGCACCCAGGAGCGCCTTGCCGATGTTGACTTCTACCCCAACGGACCAGCAACTGGAGTTCCTGGCGCTGACAACGTTGTGGAGGCATCTCTACGTGCCACCCGCTACTTTGCTGAGTCTGTTCGCCCTGGCAACGAGCGCAACTTCCCAGCCGTCGCCGCCAGTTCCTACAAGGAGTACAAACAAAACAACGGCTATGGCAAGCGCGCTTACATGGGCATCGCCACCAGCTACGACATCCGCGGCGACTACATGCTGCAGGTGAACTCGAAGAGCCCCTTCGGCCGCAACACCCCTGCCCAGACACAGAGTGGATACCACGCTGTCCATGAAGCCTGGAGGCAGCAGCAACAAAAGAACTTCGCTTAGGCGGAATCTGCTTTTGAGCCTTCGAAGCTAATATGAAAAAAAAAAAACTAGAAAACAACAAGACGCATTTCCTTTCATATTGATTGCCTATATTACGCATAGTTTTCAAATATAATTTTGCATATTTAAAAAAGACACAATTTTCCTTGTCTATTTTCTACGTACTTCCAATATTTCTGCGTGTTTATCAACCATTTTAGTAGATAATTAAAAGTCTCTCTTTATGCATTTAATTTGACTTACTGTCACAAAAATTAAAAAAATGCAGTCGTGTGCAACTGGCTAATTATATAAATAGATAGATAGATTCATATTCATATACTAAGAAAATATGGAATTCATTTTATGTATGTATCTTTATTGATATTGAGCAAATGCCACATCGTAAAACGTTTAATTAAGTATTACATTCATCGTAATCTCTGTGGTCCCAAGCCCTTCGTATATAACATAAGTATAAGCAACGTATGTTTTATTTTCAGAAAAAAAAAAAAACAAACAAAATGGTAATTTTCGTAGTGCCGGAATAACCCTATTAGCAGGTTTGCAAATTATTTCTTAACTTATTAACAAGGTATTTCCATACAAAAGATCGTGTGCCGACCAATTGTAGCTATGGAAAATATGGGAGATATAAGTACTTTATTTTGATACGATTTAGTTCATTTGTCAAAAACTAGAAAGAACGGACTTCTTCGGCACGCCGAAGATTAACTAACCGTGTAGAATTGATTGTTGGTCTGATGTTGATACGATTTTGCTCACATGTAAGGAGCATAGTGAAACTTGCAAATGCCGAATTTGTTTAAGATATCTTTATAAACTAGAACTTAATTTCTTATATGTAAGAAGCATAGTGAAACTAATAAGTGCCGAGCTTAGTCAATCGAGAACTTAACTTTCGGTCGATCGTTTCCATAATAGCTATTAGATATAGTGGTCCGTTATTGATAAAATTAAGCCTAAATGTAAGGAGCATAGTGAAACTAATAAATGCCTTGTTTTATGATAAACAAAATGTTTTTCACAGAACCTACCTTTCGACCGATCATTACCATGGCAGCTATGGCATATCAGATAGTAGTGGTCCGAGCCGCCCGGTTCCGACATATTTACTGTCTGCAAGAGAAAGACGGGCCTATGCAAAGTTTCATGACGAACGGACAGACAAGCAAACAGGAAAAATAAAAGTATCAAAAACAAAGGGATATATGCGGCTCATTCATTAAGAGCTTAATGACACTTATATTCGCTGGGTGACATTTTGAAAAAAACAGGTCTGAAGCATTTGTTCCAATGGCAGGTGTTTTGATAATGTGGTTCGATCCGCCCAGCTGATATATGTATAATAGTCTACATACAGACGAGCAGACTGACAGATTGAATACTTTTTCTAAAGGTAGAATAATACATAATACATTTTTAACGCCTAAATAACATTAAAATATCTATATTATTACTTGTTACACACATATATAAAACTATTCACAATAAAAAATTATGTGCAAACATGCAACATGCAAGAAAAAATCAGTTATCTCTTTTTGGGAGTGCCGTTGGGCCGCAAAGGCGTGCATTCAGTCATTGACCCCTCCCAGACGCTTCAATTATGACAGGCTCTCTCGCCGGTTGCCGCCCAGGTGCACATACCGCTGTCCCCATCGTATCCGAGACCCTTGGGGCAAGTGTACTCCCAACCTACAATACCGCCGGTCTCATCGAATTTGGCACAGGAAATGAATTTGCGACAGCTGAGCGGATGAGGAAAGTTGCCTTGGTCGAGGCACTCGATGATGCCTTGCCCATGTACAATCACCTTCGGTAGCGTTTGTGACTTGGACGGGGACTGGGACTGGTCCTGAACATGAAGACGGGCTGGTTCATTGCGGCGTCGCGACTGCTTTGTAACGCTCGCACGGTTTTGATCATAGATCTCGTGGTCAACAGCGCCTGATCGACGATTGGCAGTAGATGTGGCCGTGGCCACTTCCGGTTTGCTAGGCGGCCGGCTGTATACCTCAATGTACTTGTGCGGCCGTCGACGGCTCTGCTGACGGCGGGATGCTGGCGGCGATGATGCCGCCGTTACTGCTGCTGCAGTTGTACTAGGTGTGGGCGTGGCGAACTGTGGCCGACGTGGGCGTGGTATCATCTGACGACCTGCATAATAATTCATGGAAAGAATCAGTGTCCAAAACTAAAAGTATATTCGCAAAAGGGACTCACGTGTGATATTGGCTATGCCAACGCTACTGATGCTGTTCGGTAGCTCAAAGCTCAAGCCTGGACGTAAATGTTCCGAGATTTGATTGAAGCGACTTGTGTGTATGCTGGACCTAGCCACCTGATCATTATCATCCTCAATGCCCGGCAAATAGGTAGTCGTGTCTATCGATAACGCTGTGGTTGAAATCCGTGGTGGGGTTACAGTAGACGTTAGCGTTAGGCGGCGCTTAAAAAGCGGGTTTTGTGTGCGCGGCGCATCCGTGGCTAAACAATAAACATAACGAAAGTGTACTTTTTTACTGAGTTATAACATTGGGCATCGAACAAAATAATCGACTGTTGCGTTTACACAAAATACAAGTTTTTGGGCTTCGACGAGAACAGAGAAGAATGCTGTAGTCGGGAGTGCCCGAATAACAGATATCATATTCTTCTATGGACAAAAAGCACACACACGTGCACACGCACGCTGTTTGCTAAGCAGTTTCTTCCCTTATCACAGCTCTATGCGAAGAAGCTAAGGTGGTTATTAAATTTCCAGGTGAGGTAACACCACCGAGTGGAATTTCCCAAAAACCCCGTCTAATCGAGCAAAAGGAAAATCTTAACTAGCTGGCTCAAACGGCTTGGGTCATGCGTTGATCAATAAGTCATTCGACAAGGACAAACAGTTTTCTATATAGAAATAGAGTCGGGGAAGCTTTTCTCTGCCCTTCTTATATGTTCCAATAAACTTGTTCATATAATTTCATATCATTCACAATTTCAAAGGAAGGGTCACCAAATATTTTCATCTTTGAAAGAATACCCGTCGTGAATGCCCATAACCCTTCTTAATTCATTAACAGCAGCTAACAACAGGTGCAATTTCTTACCGTTTTCATCGCCACTTGTCGAGGATGCCGTTGTCGTCAATCGACGCGTCTGAAACTGGCGACGCAATGCATAGCTGGCTGCCTGGAATTTATGAAGTTTTTGCGCGTTGTCAGTGCTGCTGTTGCTGTTGCTGCTGTTACTGTTGCTGCTGTTACTGTTGCTGCTGTTACTGTTGCTGTTGCTGTTGCTGCTGCTGCTTGCTGCAAACGGCAATGTTGCTGACGAACTTTTCAGTTTGCTTAGGTAGCTGTTGCTGTTTTTAACGGTTGCTGCTGCTGTCGTAGTGGCTGGCTTACTACGCAGACGATTATATTTAGAGGTCGTCGTCAGCTCTGCAGTTGGCGTGGTCGATTCAGACGCTGCCGTCGGCGTGTTAATTATTCGCCGGCGCACGCTTAGCACGGGACGTCGCGAGACACTGGCGACAGCGGCAGCACCAGCCACAGCACCAGCACCAGCAGCAGTGGCAGTTGATGTCGAAGGCACAGTTTGTGTTCGCAGCTGCCAGTTGAAAGACGATCATCCAAGTCGTTGTCGGAGGCGGCGGTTTGTAATGTTTGTGTTGGTGGGCACATGAAATGAAGCGAGCAATTGGCATTCAATATTTTATCATAGAATAAAAATTGTTGTTTATTATTGATAGATCAGTTCTCTTTTTTTTTTTTTTTTTTGTTTAACTTGCGTGTCTGTGCTTGTCGTGTGTGTGGTGCGTTTTTTAATTTGCATCTGTGATCTCAATATCAAGATATCCGCGATGTGCAGTCACAGTCAACAGCAATCTAAAAGCAAGCTACATGCTCAACAATTAAAGAAATATTTGTACATGCATATACATATATGTACATAAGTAGTTTACATTATAAATAAATAATTAGCATTGGTACTAATACTAGCAATAAAGTATTATTATATGTATATACTAATGTTTATGTTTATACTGTGCAATAAAGTGTTAGGGCTTGTGTGTGTGTTCTTTCTTACTAAGACGGGGATTTACTTATGATACAACAATACTTATAACTTACAACAAATTACTCATATATTTCTATACTAAATCCTACTGCATTGAGCCTACCCAAATCCACTATAATTTGTTCCTTAGAAACTTCAGTCTACGGTCAAGAACTAGCAACTCATGAGTGATGCTTGATGGTTAAGTGTCATAGTGAACAAATGTACGTTTACTCATGAACTCAATAATCTAGACAGACTAAAAAATGCAGTCAGGCATTTTAATTGAAGGACGTTAGAATGCCAGAGACTATATAATATATACATACATAAGATCACTGTGCGCACAAGATGAATCAGTATGCCAACAATTTGATACCAGTTTGGTTAGTTGGCTGTTGGGTATTGTTCAGCGGACACTGTGCCTACATTATGCATACATGTAACCATGAAACTATAGCTATGCATAATAAAAGTTATACAAAAACTTATGGAATAAAAACTGCGATGTGAGACTTGCCAGTATGTGGAGCTTTTTTAATGTCAATGTCGTCTCTATGCGCATGCGTATGCGCTGGACACGCCCTAGAGCCGCTTGCGCAACGTATGAAACTCGATATGCCGAGTTGAAGATTGAAGATTGAAGATGAGCCCGTATCAGCTGGCCGGACCGGCTCATTTGGCAACGGCGACTGCATGCCATTGTGATTGCATAAGACTCTTGGCTCTGCTGCCGTTAAAAGATGTGCGCTTTGCTTTTTATGATAGCCTGTTAGCTTACGCTTTTGTTGGCAGTTGCTGAAATGTTTGTTGTCTTCATGCCAAACTGGTTATCTTCACTTAAATACCGTGCAGACGATCGGAGCTAGATCCAGACATAGCCAGAAGTGTGTACGGCGAATGCTTGTCAGGGCGTCGTCATTGTAAGACGAGAAAGTTGCTGCCAATGCAAAAAGCTGTTTTATCTGAAGACCCAAATCAGTGCCAACTTCGATGCATGTGTTGGGTGAAAGGTACAAAAATGCCAAGCGGCATTAAAGTGGCTAATCATATGGGAATTCATACATGCTGATGGAAATTTGAATGAATACAAGTGACTACAAGTACTTGGTGGGTATGGCAACAGGAAGGCAGAATATATCTTTTACATTTAAAGCAAACTAAGTAGACTAATTGTTTAGTTAGACACCAAGATATAAGTTGTGTTATCGCTTTACCTCACATTTTGATATAATTGTTTATGCAATCTGAACTGCACTTTAAAAGTATCTTAGGTTAGAGTATCCAGCTTCGTGATGTTTGTGTAGGGAAATTAAAGTGTTTGCAAAAATAAATAAAACGAAAGCTAAAAGCCACCGAAAAAACAGCCACATAAACAATATTCATTTTTATTATAATAATAGACTACTTATTATAATACATGCTTTTTTGACTCTCGTAATGAGATCTTTATTAGCTCTTTGGGCTCTAACCAATGAAATCAACTAAGGATTTCCAAACAAAAATCTGTCAAGGGGCGCATTTTTTAAATGTTTGTATTTAAGCTTTATTGCATTGGAAATTTAATGTACCCTGAACTTGTTGTGTAAAAAGGATATGGGTTTGTGCAAATATGTATATGTGGCATGCAGAAGGAAGCAAAGCAGACCCCATAAAGTACATATATTCTTGGCCAGCAAGAATAGTCGGGTTGATCTAGCCATGTCCTTTTGCCCGTCGTACGTATGAAATTCTGAATGTAGATTCTCCTAGTGTCCGCGCGATTTTGTTTCCGGTAATTGATAGCTTGCCTCGTGTTCAAGCAGTCGATAAGAATCGATATCAATCAATATCAATATATATATGTTAGCATATCTCTGTCATATTTGACACGCAGCTTCTCGTGTTGTATACACAGACTTAGTATATTTCACTTTTTGGATACAACCCCTTATCACGCAAAATCAAATAAATAAAAACTGTTGCCCTTTTACGAAAATACGAATATCCTATATTATGATAATTCCTACACATTTTATCAAGATGGGTAACAAAACACAGAAATTATTAAAGAAATAATTATCAAGCCATGAAGTAGCTCAAGAATGCACACATACCTTTATATGCGTAGCTTTCTGAATTCTATAAATATACGTGCAATTGGGATTCTTTGTATGTTGTGCTACGTGTAGTGCTGCCTTAAGTTCCGCTTTAGAATTCATGTCATGGCTGTCGGGTATGAGACGTTAGGAAGTAGCTCGCTCGATTGAAGGGGGCCTAAGGTCCGACACCGGCGGCAGGGGGCATACATATATACATACATATATAGAAGTAGGACTACAAAAGATGAAGTTTTGAAAATGTAAGCATTAAAAGCTTATTTTTGCTGGGGCCTTTGGCTTTTAAACTTTTCTCGTGTGTGTTTGAGCAAGTTCGAAAAAGTTAGTTTGTAAAACGTAAGCTCATGTCCAGCTCAAGTTAATGGTTCGGTTTTGACAGACCCTTGAACCCAAGTTTTGGTGCAACCCTTTGTTTGCCTTGTATTATAAAATGAAATAAAACATGTCTTAATTAAGTGCCCGTTGAGCTCTTCACAAAAGTTATTTAATTTAAACCAAGCTAAGTATTTTGAACGTGCTTCATTCTGATATTCCCTGATACAAAGTTTTTAGTTTCTAGTTAGGAAATGCTATCGTGATTTACTTCGGTGTTCACTATCGGATCTTTATGGATTTTGAAGGGCATAGATATGGCATCTTTATGTGTGTTAATACCAATGTGGAATACTATATCTACTAAAGTTCACTGAGGAACGGGAGGAGGTATACAAACAGTGAAATATTCTAGATCTGCGTAAAAAATTTATAAAATATTTTCATAAGCCAGTAACCGAACATTTTTGGTATTGAAATAAATGTTTCGTTACGGCCTCAGACCGATTATTTGTGAGAGAATCGGTTTGATTAGTGATTCAGCTTGCCGCCCTCATGTAAGTATGTATGTTTTTATTGATCTCAAGAGCCATTTATTTTGTATTAATAAGTCCGTGGACTCCTTCTGACTTTATTTCTTTTGTATGCCGACTCTTTGTTGTCTATGTAAAATATCGCATTTCAGTTTCAGTCAATTTGTAGTATAAATAGTCCTAAAAATAAAATCTTGTGATTCTTTGAAGGAAAAAAAATGTAACTAAAAGCTTCGAAAAAAAAATATAAAAATGTGCTGTGTAATAAATATGATTTGTTTATGTATCTATATTGTTGTGATTATTCTGTATGTACAAATAATTTTTAGGTACTGGATAGAGCTGTTCAGATATGATGCTGAATATCAATATCTGTACGCATATGGTCTATTGTATTTGCATATATCTAGAATATGCATGTATGTAATATTCTGGGGTTTTTATATACAAAATAATTATGTTTGTTTTTGGGTTTATTTAGGTTTATTGTGCATAAATATTTAACGACTAAAACTAAATGCAATAAACTCAAAGTAATTCAAAAGAAAAAAAAAGAAGATATTTAAAAATTTTTAAGCGAAATTGATTTAAAAATGAAGGGACTTAAATAAAATTAAGTTTATTTTACAGTTTTCCGCTTAGGGTCGTTAGAGATTGCATTGAACCAATTGGAAAGGCATTGCATTTCATTACTGTATGTGATTGTGTGGAATTGTATATGTGTGTATGTTGTGTGTGTGTGTGTGTGTGTGTGTGCGCGCGTGTGTTAGAATATATGTTGGTGTGTGTATGTATATTATTGTTATTATAAATGGCAGCTTGAAGAATACAAAGTTGAAGTGTTCAAAAGCAGCAGGTTTTTACCACAATACGGCCATAGGCTACCATTTGGTAAGATTTCATGAAAAACTATTTGTATTATTAAAAAAAAGGTTCCAATTCTGAAGGACAAGATGACGCCGATTATTTACAGGGCGGCAGAAGGGTTAAACTTAATGCGTTTGTCTCTGTACAAAATAAGACTAGAAGTAACTAACTACGTTTGGTGGTGCAGCAATTAAGGAGCCACCGTGGTCGTTGTCGCTGTTGTGGTTGTTGTTTTTGTGTTGCGCTGGCGTTTCAGAGGTCGTCGGCCACGCCCACGCCCACGACGCGCCTTCTTTCGACGCACCACATGCGTTTCGGTGCTGTAGCTGATTTTCTCGCTAATGTTGCTAATGTTAGTATGTGTGGTTGCTGTTTGTGTTTGGCTATCGTTGTTGTTGTTACTACTGCCACTAATAGCGCCGTTTGTTAGTGTGAACGTTGTCTGTGCATAACTGTTATGTTTATCAGAGTGGTCCGAAAGCTGATTACTGGGCGCCTGCAACACTGACGCATGGCGCACAGAAAACGCCGAATTCGAGTCGGGGGCGAGGCTGGGTGCGTTGATAGAGCTGGGTGGCAACAGGGTGCTGCTGTCTTCGATGCCGTTTCCGACATTGGCATCTGACTCGCCCTCCGACGCTTGCACCTTGCTTAGTATGACCTTGTCGAGATTGGCTATCGAGATGATTAGGGGTGAGGATTCATTGGATTCGGGACGAAGTAGGGGTACAATGGGTCTTACGTATGTGGCTGGCAGGGCAGACGCAGCTGTTGGTGGTACAGTTGTATTAATTGTATCCAGGTCTGTATCCATGAGGGGCGTGGTATCGGCATTCCTATCGACGGCGTTATTACTATCGATGCTCAGCTGTTTGGCCTTACGCGCCGAGTCAAATAGCCCTTCAAGCGAAATCGTTGATGTTTCGAAGGCACCACGGATGACCTCTGGTAGCAGCGATTTGCCGCTGCGATCCAACTCGAAGTCGCCTTCAGTCTGTGGCAGACTATTGCGCACTGGAGCTGAGTTCTTGGGGACGCTAGGCTCAGTAGGCGTGTAATCCGCTACGGTACTTTGGCCATCGTTGATTTGTATATCGCTTCCATCCACCAAGTGCACATACTTTACTACACTGATCTCACCTAGCTGTTCCACATGAGGCAGTGACTCGACGCGCAAGGTGCCAAAATCTTGATTGGCCTTGGATTTGCGTTGGGCGGCCTTGGCTTGCTTCGAGTTAATTTCTACAATGCGATTGATTTCGATAAGCTTATGCTTGGGCTCCACAGCGGTAGTCTTACTGCCCAGCGGTCGCCCAGTAGGCTCCTGATCCTCTTCATTTTCACCTTCAACCAGGGTAAATACGTGCAGTAGCGTCGTTGCTGGCGGTGGTGGTAGCGTTGTCAAAGACAATGTTGCCTGTGCTTTGTCCTGTGGGGGTGAAGAGATGTTTGTGGCTTCATTAGCATATTCATGGAACACAATTTGTGGCTGTGCGGTTTCGGTTTCAGTGTTTGTGGTGTCTGTTGACTGTGTTGATGTAGGATTTGTTGTTGGTGTGGTTGGTGTGGTAGTCACGTAGCCCTGCCTCTGTTGCAGCTGATCGTAGGCATCCTCACTTTCAACCACTTCGGTTTCTAGTTCTGCGTCAGTCTTAGCGGCTACCTTTGGCTTAAGGGTCGTATGCTTCTTGCTGTGTATGTCAAAGATCTTTTTATTGCGTGCATTAAGCGCATCAATATTAAGATCTTCAATCAGTGGATTCTCGCTAGTGATTTCCGGTGTCTCTGTTGAAGGACCTGTGTATTTGCGCTCGTAACTGCGATTGTTGCTGGGAATGAACGGAGCCGGTTTCAGAGGTGTTAATGGAGTCGTGAGCTCATAATTGTTGGCCACAGGGCGTAGTGTCAAATTGGGGGTAGCCACGCCAGAGGGACGATTCACCACACGTGGGCGATTGCTTCCTCCAAAGCGATTGACAGGCGCAGTAGAGGAACTGCCTATATTGCGATTGCGAGGATTGAATGGAACATTGCCACTGTTGGCATTAGGGCCGCTGGCGGTGGGTGCAAAGTTTGGTCGATTACCGGGCGGCACACGATTGTCCTTGGGCCGATATGCGGACGGCGTATGGAATTGTGGCTTGCTGGTACTATCCCCTAACTGCTGCTCCTGGCTGGAAACAGGTTGTTGACCTTGTTGTTTGCTTTGCTGTTCTTCTTCCTCGTCATCATCCTCATTATCTTCGTCCTCGTCTTCGTCGTCAGCATCATATTCTTCTTCGCTGTTAGCATTCTCCTGATCTTGCTGAGGTTGTTTGTTTTTCGGAATAAAAGGTCTTCTCACCGCTACCTGATTACCCAGCGGGCTAGTATTTATCAGCGGCTGTGGGTGCTCCTGCTGTTGCTCGTAATCCGCATCTTCTCCGTCGACTTCAGCCTCCCTCTGGTCCTGCTTGAATCGATCGGCACCTGGCAGTCGTGCACCCCTAGGATCGCTACGCACAAAGCCCTCGCCTTTGTTTCGCACATTGGAGTTAAAGGGATCATAGCGTCCGTTCTTGCGACGCACAAACTTAGCTGTGGGTCGTGTGCTGCTGAAGACTAGAGCCGCTTTAGTGGGTGTGGTGGCACCTGATGGGGCATAAGGGCGCTTGGCTACTAGCTTGCGTCTAAAAACCGGACGCTGCGATGACGCAGGTGTTGAGCTTGACACATTAAGCTCTACATCATCATTGTCTGGAGTGGCGGTGGTGCTCACAGCCGTTCGTTCGACTAGCAATTGCTTAAGTCTATCATTGATGACACCCTGTTCCCCACTACCACGTGCTTGATCTGCCTTTACTTTATCGCGCAGTTGCTGCAATGTAGAGTTACCGTCACTTTCATTCTCCTTATCGATGTTTTTGTCGTCTTTTCCCCGCAGTCTATTGTTTATGACACCATCGGTTGGCTCGCCACGGGACTGTTGACTTTTGAGTCGATTTCGAAGCCTCTGTAAGTCAATAGGTCGCCGCTCCGACTGCACCGACTGTTTCTGGGAATCTGTATTATCTTCAACCGCATCCGTCTCTAGCTCAACATTTTGTGCAGCTCCGAATCTCGAGTGGCTGGGTAGAAATGGCTTACGCGTGGTTGTAGTTGTTGCACCAGCAACTATCTGCTGATCTTCACTGCTTGGTTCTTCTGTGGCTAGCTTATTAGACTCCGTGGTTGTCTCAACTGGCCTAAGTTTGCGCACAATCTTGCGGAATTTTTTTGCAGGCGTGTTGTTGATTGGGTTAGTGGTACTGTTTGCTATTGTGATTGTGTGATTAGTGTTCTCAGAATAAGAGGAACTGGCGCTATTAGTGGTGCTGACTGTACTATTGCTACTATCAATAGGCTGAAGTGGTCGCCGATATTTAAGTACGCGTATGCGTTTCAGTTTTGGTTTGCCGCTTGTTGTCGTTGTCGTTGCTGTTGTGATTGTTGTGGGAACGGTTGTAGTCTCAGTGGCATCTTCATCTTCCTCGCTCTCTTCTGTTTTCTCAGTTGATATGTCATCGATATTAGATAGTTTAGTTACCTGTACGCGACTACGTGAGCCGAAGGATAAACGCCTTGTAGTTGATTTTGCCGATGTTGTTGAGGCTGTTGGTCTGGCTGTCGTTGTAGTTGTGGGGCCTCTTGTGCGGCTCACTTGATACCGATTCTGAAAACGTCGTTTAGAATTAACTTCATTACCTATGTCATTTAAATTACGCTCCGGTGCCCCACTCTCATTATCATTATTATTCTTATCCGTCTCCTCGATATCAATATCTGCTTCTAGACTATCATCATCTTTAGTTTCATCGTTATTTTTAGCATTACCGACTGTGTCTTCAAATTGTTTGTTTGTGTAAGTGTTTTTGCTGTCGGTGCTGTTGTAGTTTTTGTTTTTGTTTTTGTTAGCATTAGAAAACTTAAAAGAGTTATTTAAATAGTTAGCTACGGTGCTATTACCACGTGATGTTTCAAAATGATGACTAGCTACTCTATGTGAGGTGCTTTGATGTGTGTAGTTTCTAATATAAGGTTGTGTGATATTATTTTCAGATACGTGCTCTATAGTGTCATTATCATGCATGTTGTCAATATCCACATCATCGTCTTCGTTGTCGTCGTTGTCTCCATCTTCGTCTACGTCTTCGTCTTCGTCATCGTCATTGTCATCGGTACTGACGCTGGGTTGGCTTTGGATCGAGGTAAGTATTTTCGTCGGGTTTTCAGTCTTAGAAGTTTCTCTATTCGTGTTAGCGATTCGTTGTCTACTGGCAAGTAACTGGCTTAGAAGGGAGCTGGTAGTTTTGCTGCTGGGCTTTTGATCAACGGTCTCTTCGAGCTCAACGTCATCTTCTTCATTGTCTTCAACATTGTTATCATAATCGTCTTCCTCTTCTTCTAACTGCTGATTTTCATGTTGGTTGGCATCCTCACGATTATACAGATTTCTATTGATTGCTACTATACTGCGCAGTGTACTAGAGCTCAATCTTGTCTGCGGCGCTGGTGTCCGACGTGTGCCAAAATGCGGAGGTTTCCGCCCAGTATTTTGGCTATCCTGTTCTCCTTCTTTGGTAGCAGGTATCTGGCTTAGCTGAGGTCTAATCAACGCCCGATGGCGGTTCGTTTGCAAAAATCCCCCACGTACTGTTAAGCTATCTGAGTCGGGCGTTTTATCGTCAATATTGTCATCAGTGCTTGCATCATCGCCGTCATCACTGTCAGCATCGCTTATTGATTTTTCAGTTGTTGTTGATTCTCTGCTAACTGAAAAGCGATTGCGTGTACGGCTCAGTGTCGCATATGGACGACGTGTGCTTACATCGACCTCTTTATCTGTTCCAGGAGTTGTTATTTCCTTAGCTGAGCTTTCTGTGGAGGTTTTATTGAAACGGCGCTGCTTTGACAGATCGCGTGGTGGTGTAGGACGGTTTCTGTTGTTTCTTGGCACTGAAGTTGTTAATTTAATATTTCCAATATTACTTATTTCTTTATCTTTATCTTCTTGGATATCGTTAGTATTTTTTTGACTCGCGGCTGTGGTTGAATTATATCGCCGGCGTACCAGACTCTGGCGTAGTAGTGTTGATCTTTCACTGGTAGGTGTTGTGGCTAAGGTTGTGGATTCGATACCATTAACAGAGTTATACTTTTCTGTGTTTGAATTCTGTTCAGCACTGTTCTTGGTTTTTGGAGTGGGTGCAGTTGCATTAAAACGGCGGCGTATCAGAAGATTACGTCTTGTTGTAGTTAATTCTATAGTTTCCTCACCATCTCCGGAGCTACTGATTACATCAGAACTGTCTTCATCCTCGTTGACCTCGCTGATTTGCTTAACTGATGCGCTTGATATTGTTGTAGTATTGCCACGACGAAGCAACAACTGATAACGTGGATTTTGATTGCTTTTTGTTTCTGCTATTGGAGTTGTATATTCTGTGCCATTTCTGGACTTTTCCTCATCGTCCTTGGCTTCGGTACTTCCTTCATTATTTGTGGATGAAGCAGATTTCGTTGCATTCAAGCGATTGCGTATTATGACTTTTCTTCTTTTATACGTAGGTCGCCCAGAGGCTGTTTCTGTGGTTGCACTCGTGGACACACCATGATCGGGAGCATTGATTTGGTCTGTATTTAAGCGGTTACGTTGCAAAATCTGACGTCGTGGTGAGGGACTCTCAATAGTTTTGACCGTGGTTGTCGATGTAAGGTCCTCAATATTGGGACTGCTAGTGACGGCAACATTGTCTTCAAAGTACTCGATTTCTCTACTCTCTTCATAAGTTGTATTACTGATCTCGGTGGTTGTTGAATTAAAGCGGTTGCGGAGCGTATGTTCCTTGCTTATGACGGCCGTACCGATTCCAGCTGTCGTAGGGCTGGTAACGGTAGTCATGTCTTCATTACTGACAACTTCATTTTCATCACCCAACTCAGCCAGAAGATCGTTTTCGTCACTATGCTCATCACTTGAATATGTTACACTATCAAAATCAGGTGCACTATTTGCTGAGTTTTCCGATGACACTCTTTGATTGTTACTGAGATTTTGACGAGGTGTCGTTGTCGACAGCAGTTTATTAAAGCTACCATTTACTCGTCGCGGGTTGCTATCTTGACCTGCTGTGGTTGTTATCTTGTTCCTTCTGCCCCCAAAAAGCTGAGTGAGACTAGGGGCACTCTTCGTGGTTGTCTCTAGCTCATTTATTTCCTTTGGTTCATCATCCGAATCTGGATTAGTTGTCAGATTTGGACGCTTGCGATTTAGTCGGCTATAAGTACGTAAGACACGGGAATCATTTTTGACTTGTTGCGCATCCGCTAATATGGACACCTGTATAATGCGCTTGGTTTCATTTCGTCCTGCCGTTGTCAGCTTTGATTTGAAAGTTTTGCCTTGTCGATATGAATTTATATCCGTGGCGGCGTTCGTTTCCACGGAAAGCTCATTACCCTCATCTCCACTATCTGTGTCCCCAAAGCTAGTATCCGTGGTTATCTGCTGCTTTTTGCCAAGCTTACTCTCATTAAATGTTTCCTCAGCATTTTTCGTCAAGTTAGCCCCCGGGTGGCCTACACTGACCCGGGGGTTTTCAATAAAAAATGACTCAGTTCTGAATTGATTTCGCGTGCCTGCTCCATAGCCAAACGATGGTCATCTTCATTGCTAATGCTTTCATCCTCCTCTAATGAATTGGTCGGCTTTCCATTGTCACTTACATTAAAAACATCATGAATCTGCTGTTGTATGTTAACCGTGACGCTCTCGACGTCAGCTGGCTCTGGAGTCTTGTCAATATATGTAATGGGCGAATCCTTCACGTATTGATAGTATTTTCGACGATGATAAATTGGCAGCGAGAGCTTGTCATCATGGCTAGTTTCCCTGCCAGGTTCAGATGCAGGCGTGGTGCTCACAATGGCAGTTTTGTTACTACCCGTTTGAATGCTATTCAATTCATTTGTTAAATTACTTTGTAGATCCTTCAGATCATCACTGATGTTTGTTGTTGAAGGCCTTTTTGTCGTTGTTGTTGTAGAGCTGCTGGTCCTTAAACGGAAAAAGTTTTGTTTAGCAACTGATTGCTGCGAACTTGTTGTTGGCGGCTCCTCTGTTGTTGTTGAAACGCTCGGTATAGTTGTTGCTACGGGTCGCTTAAAGGTCAGCTTACGTCTGCTCGAAGTGGTATGTGTAGATTGGTCTGTGCTTGTTTTCGAAGTTGGTCGCTGGAATTCGTTATTATCGACTACTACAGATTGCGGGGTCGTTGATGCTATTGTTGGTGGACTTGTGGTTGTGCTAGGTCTTGTGGGTCTCAAGCGCGGGCGAACAGTAGTCACTGCACTTTGCCTGGTCGTAGTTTCTAGGTCCGAATTGTCTTCATCATTATCGCCATCGTAAACAAACTCCTGTATTTCTTCGTGCTCTATTGTTTCTTTGGGCTTTTTCAATAAACGTCTGCGAGTCTTTATCACGGTCGGCTGCGATTGTTTAGCATGCTTTCCTTTCGTAGCAAAGTCCAAGGACAACAATGAGGACAGATCATTACTACGAAACTTTACTGAGCCACGATTTCTTGTTACGGTGCGTGCTGTTGTACTGGCCACCGGTTCACTGACCTCATCCGAAATATACTCATATTCGGCCGGCTTCTCCTGAACAGTCTTGGTGTGCACACGCTTCACAACCTTTCCATTATCAATTGTACGCACGTAAGTAGTACGCGTGCGTGTTAAACCATTGCCCAAAGATTCAGTTTGGCTGGAGGTGCGATTGCGCACAGTTCCAAATGAAGCGCGATTGTTAAGCTTTGCACGCGTTAAGTTCTTATCGGCTATACCACTTATATCCTCACTTTTTGGCTCTGCAGTCGTGTTATAATTGTTGTCCGTCAATTCTTGATCTTTAAAAGCTTGCTGTGGAGCCTGTCGGTGGTTGTTTCGTACGCGCTTGTTTTCATCAGCTGCTAACAAAGATGAGAGATCGCCTTCCTTGCGGGGTCGATAGTTGCCTCTGACAATGACACGCCGCCTTGAAAGCGGCGTGGTGTTATTAATAACAAGATCTTCATCTTCGCTTGCGTCTGTCGTACTGGCTGTTGTTGCTTTCGCCGTTCTAATTCCGCTGCGAACAGTTGAACGTCTAGTGTTCGCAGTATATGCTGTTGTGGTTGTGGACAGGGTTTTCGGAGCTGCCTCTGTAGTGCTTGTCATTTGGACTTGGAATGAAGAGCGGCGTGGGTGTTGGTCAACTGATTTGGTGCTAAGCTTCTCGGTGACGCTTGTTTGGCTCTCCACTTTAGCTACATCCTTATATAAGGACTCTATCTGAGACTTATTAGTATTCTGGGGCGCTGCTGTGGTTGTTGTAAGGCCCGTAGTATATTCTGATTGTTCAGTTGTTGTGGTGGTGCTGCTTTCAATATCGGGCACAGATTGCGTTGTAAGTTCTGGAACGGTTGTAGCCGACGTGCTCGCCAATTTGGATGTATTATTATTTTCACTGCCAGCTGCAACATCTGTGCCGAGGGTGGTTACCTTTGAGATTTCTACATTATTTGATAGCAACGTTGTCAATAAATTTTTTCGCAGAGTTGCACCCTCAGTGGCTATCTCCCTTGATTCTTGCTCAGTTGCTGTGTTGCTATCGTCCGAGCTGTCATTTTGAGCAGGCGCTATAGTCTTGCCACGAGCCACTACAGGGGGCTCATCGTCAATTATTTCAGCTGCAATATTCTCATCCTCAATCGTTGTTTCCGTAATCAGACCTCCTCGTTGTATGGGCAGGTTGCCTTCTGACCGGTTTACTTCACCTAGGTTGCGCATAAAGCTAGAACTGCGATCTTCGCTCAAATGGGCACCGCTGCTATCGCGAATTATTGAAGTGTAGGGTACCTGCTTATCGACACTGCCGCGAGTAGAAGTACGACTTATGCTTTGGTAGTTACGTTTGCCACTTGAGTTTGACACTGGGTCGGTCTCATTGGTGACTTTAATTTGTGAGTTTCCATGACCGGAAGAGACAGATTCATCTTCAGAAACTGTTGTTTGTTCTATTAACCCAACGTCGTCAAACATTTTAGCATTGTTTCCGATTTTCTCTTCCACCCGGCTGTATGTACGAGCGATGTTTTGATAGCTGCGACTTGTTGTTATCTGCGAAGTTTGTGGCGTTGTGACTGGTTCCTCGATTCCATCTTCATTTGTATCGTTTTCTTGCTCCGATGAAGTCGAATAATCAACCGCTAAGCGCTTGCCAGCATACCTACGTGAATCTTTGTCTTTAACATTGAACGAATTGGGCGGCCTGACCGTACCTGCTGAAATTCGCGTAGGTCGGCGCGTTTGTTTAATTATTTCGGTGTGTTGATCGTCATCTTTAGTACTTAAAGTAGAGGTGCTAACTACATCATGCCTTAATATATTGCCACCATTACCAGCTACGTCTAAATCTACTATACTTTGTGTGCGTATTGCGTTTGTTGTGTTAGATTTGGGTGTTGTTGGTTGGGTTTTTGTGCTAGGGTCCAACAACGTTTGACTATTATTGGCACTCACCTTGGGCCTATCCACTTTGGATAGACGCGTTTTGCCTATTCCCGCAACATCATCACTTCGAGTATTGTTTACGTTATCGCTATCATTATCGTAATTATTAACAGTGCTGTTTGTTGTTATGGTAGGAAGTGGTTTAGTGGCAGTGGGACGTGTGCGACGTCGGGGATAACCAAAGGGTCTTGGACTAGATATGCCGCCCAGCGTGTTGATGTTAGTTGGGCTTACAGGTAGTTCGGTTGTATTCAGTTCAAGTTGTGTTCTTTGTGGTTGCCTTCTACCAGAGTAGGTGCTTTTAATGATATTTACAGTAGGATCGGTGCTACTGAAAGCTTTCGAGTTACCAAAGTTGGGACTAGCATCGTTGACTGCTGCTGCATTGTTTTTCTTTGAGTTGTTGTTGGTCGTGTTTATGCGTCTGTGACTGGTTGCATACTTAGTCTTAATTGTTGTTACCTCGTTATCAACATTGTTTATTTGATTGTCGTTGTCGTCTTCGTCGCTGTCAATGTTGTTTTGTTCACGATTGCCAGTTGTTCTTATTTTGGCCTGTTCAGACTCCGTCGTAGTTACTGTTGCGGTTGTCGTTGGGGCCGCAACTTGTGATAAGTTGTTAATTTTTAAGTCAAGTGCTGGTAGGTGGACTGCATCGCTTGGCTCATTGGCCGGCGGCAGTGTGGTAAATTGTGACTCTAAGAAATCGGTAATACCATCAGCCACGCTCAAGGAGTCGATGCTGGTGGTTGGTGTTTGGATAGTGGATAATACTGGAGCTGTGGGTGTGGGTGTGGGTGTGGGTGTGGGTGTTGGTGAGGTGGTGGTGGGGGTGGTGGTGGTTGTATGGATGTTAGTAGTGCTAGTGCTTTCAACTGGTTCAGTGGTTTCGTTAATGATAGTGGTTGTTGTAGTGGTTATATCTGATTGGATGCTGATTGATGCAGGTGTGGTTGCTGGTACATTATTAATTTTCACAGTGTTGCTTCTATTGTTGTTGTTGTTGTTGTTGTTGAGGGTGCTGGCCTTGGCAGTCTCAGCGCCTGTAATTGTTGTTGTTTCTGGTGGTGTTGTTGTTGTGATTGTTGTGGTTTTGGTTCTGCGGCCAATGCTCGCGTATTTACGTGTATTTGATGTTGCTGTGGTGCTTTGATTTCTTGGTACCGTTACTTTTTTCTGTTGTGGCTCATCCTCGTATTCCTCCTCGTCTTCATCAGAATCATGATCATTAGCATCAGCTCCGACATCAATTGCACCGCTGCTCTTTGTGGGCTGCGTCCGTTCAAGGTATTTGTAGCTACAGATAGAGAAAGAGTGTGTGTAAGTGGAAAGGAACAATAACTTCGTCTGCATTTAGTTACCGATTGGTGTTCGAGATAATTGCTGACTCAGAAACTGTGCTTTGCGGCCGCTCTGTGGTACGTCCACGAGTACGGCTTAGTGTAGCATAGTGCTTAGTCTGCGTTTGCTCCTTAATGACAATAGGCTGTTCGGGCTCCGTCACTGAGTCTACGGGCGCTGTGGACGTTGTGGTAGGTCGGGAGCGTCGTAAACTAGTGTACGATGGCGTGACAGAGCCAAGAGGACGCCTCGTTGTATTCACCGGATCTTGTTTGGAGTCAGCCTCTTCCTCACTTAAACTATCATCATCTCTAGAGGTAACTTCGGCTTCTTCCTCATCGCGCGTGGCGCCTCGATTGCGATTAATAGTCACATACGGCTTACGTTCCTTAAGAAAGCCATCGAATTCGGCAAGCTTTTCCAGTCCCTCGTTTTGTGGTCCCTGACGGCTGTTGCCGCGCAGTACCGATGAGTATTTTGAATTGTTTGCTTGCGAACTGCCATCGCCGGCGACGGCAGCGTTGCTATATTCAGCGGATTCAGTAGGCTGTATTTTAACAACATTGAGGCGTTGACGTGTAAATGTGCCCAATGTTTCAGGACGATTTAGAACACGATCATACAATGACTTGCTAATTGTGGAAGGTGTTGTCGGTGCGCCGCTAGCAACGTTCTCTTTCAGCGTTATAGAACCGTCTTTATTTCGCAGTAAGTGTTTCTCCAGCTGCTCCACGCCACCGACCTTACGTATAAGATCAATTAGCTCCTTTATGACTTGTGGATCCTCTTCAGCATCGGTGGACTTGCTTGATGTCTGTGTGTTATCTTCGTCCTCTTCGTATTCTAGCACATCTTCCGCTGATGCGGCGGTAGTGGTTGTTGTGGTGGTGGAACTTGTGCTGGTGATACGTGGATAGACCGGGCGAGCCACGGGTGCTGCTGTGACACGATTGTAGCTACTGGTAGGGCGTAGTGTTGTGGTCGTTGTACTTGTTGTCGAGCTTATAGGGCGTGCAGTTGTCAGTCTGCGTTTATACATTTAATACAATAATAATTATTACATATATATGTATATATTATGTAGACATCAGTCACTTACTTCTGGGTCTTGCATGGTACATTGCGTGCAAAATCGCAAGAATCGGCAGCGGGATTAAAGTAAAGCCCAGAAGGGCAGGTGAATTGATGAGCCACAATGCCCAACCCAGAAGGACCGCTATCTAAACACCAGTAGTACTTCTTGCAGTCGCGAGGATGCTGGAAAAAGCCCTCCTCCTCGCATTTGAAGTCAGAGCCGGGATCGGGCGTTGTGGGCGGTGGTGGCGTCGTCGATGCTCGTCCCCCAATGTACAGCGACGGTCCCTTAGCCTCCGTCAGTTTTATAGTGGTAGTGGACTTTGTCGTTGTGGTGCCTCTATTCGCAGGTCGTCGAGTTGCACTGGGCTTTCTTGTGTTTACGTCGGACTCGGAGGTTAAGTGATTCCTTGTGCTGGTGATGCCATTGTCCCGACTTCTAGAGCGTAACGGCTTTTGCGGGCCATTTGACTTTGCTACTTCATTAATGCCCAGTCTGTGAAAAGGAAATGTGAAATTTAAGATTTTAGCAAAACTATAGCATTGTTTTTTTTTTTAATTTTTTATAAGCCTAATTAAGTAAATATCTGTTGGTTTTCATACTACGTGATACTCCGAATTAGCAAGAAAGCCCAGTTCACAGTGGCGTAACTAGGACCACGTTTGAAAATGTAGATAGCAAACGAGGAGTACTGACAACTATTCCAGTACACAAGACATGGTAATAGACTTTTAGGTAGCTATGACAAGAAACGAACGATCTGATCATGAGCAAATATTCACCTCGACTTATCACAGTACTAACCGGACATTTAAGATTGTGCAAGCAAGTGTAAAAGCTCAAAATTAAGGAGAATGAAAGTGTGAGCTCTGCAAGAAACTCCAACTATAAGCAGGCTAAGACTCCACAGCTGGCAGGTAAAACCCTCAATACTAGAGAGGTGAGAGCTTTGAAGTCTTGGAATATCATTGCACTTCTCCATATGATAGGACTGGACAAATTTCTATAAAGCGCCAAGCTGTAATTGACTCTACCAACTGACAATTATTAAAAATAATGTATGGAATGAAGTCGAAGGGTACTCCTTGTCGGGTACTTTCGACCAGACCTATCTAACTTGCTTTAATCACTGCTAAACAAATATCGCTAAATATTGCATTGTCGCATGATTTCTTATAAAACATAAATTGTGTATTCAGCTTTTTTATATAATACTTACCCAAATGCCTCAAGCATAGCCTCCTTGGCAGCCTCAATCAAAGGATATGGCTTACCACTGCATGTCCCACGGAAATCATCATTATCTATGGCCCAAAACATAATACCACCCAATCCATGGGCGACCACATACTCTGCCTTCTTACGTACAATGGCCTCGTCATCGTAACCCACCCATTGATTGCGCCTGTAGGCATACGGACCCATGACATTTTCGTTGGGCTGCACCACAGTCCATTCGGGATCTTCCTTAAGTGTTTGACAAATCTATAATATAATTTATAATATAATTATCGGCATGGGTACATTTGGAGTTTCTATGGAATATCTACCTCATAGTATGCCAAATATCCCTTCTCTCTGGTAGCGTCACCCTGTTCGCCAGGTCCCTCCGAAGGTGCACCGAGCTCAGTGCTCTCCTCATTAATGAGCGTGTAGGAGCGTCCGTAGGTAGGTATGCCCAATACCAGCTTATCACGATCGGCTCCAGCTTTTAGATAATATTTGATGGAATAGTCCTGTTAGGTGAAAATATATTAGGTTAGGTGAAAATATATTAAAATATATTATATGTATATAATAGTTATCTTAATGTATAAAAGTGTTCATCCGGATTAGCTGGCTAACTGATTGGTGATCAACGCACAGCCCATAGGTGCAAGGATCAGTTCAGAAATGTATTTAAGATATGTCTTAGCGACTTGGCAAAATCGACACCTCTTGAATGGAAAATATGTCAACAAAATTTGGGGAAAAGTTAAGTTAATTAATTTCAAAAACTAATATAAGGGCCTGATGAGACGTGTTTCAACGATTTGGCAAATTCTACCGAAAGCGGATCTTTGTGAACGTCTGTATGTGCCTAGTTTCAGACGGTTGCGGTCATAAGATCACTTGTAAAGATCGTCATGACATTTTTTTTTAGACTGATTTCACACTTTTGGAAAGGTCAAAGTAGATATTGATTCCAAAATTTGGTACTTAATTCAATGGGCTTCAAACTAATTAAAATTAAAACATTTTCCATGAGTAGTAAATGCGTGAAAAGGTGAAGCCTGGGAGTAATATACATATATTTATTTATATGCATTAAGGTGAAGAAAACTATTTTGTGGCACTTACAATATTTAACTCAGCATCATAGTTATATTCGGAATCATCCTCCAGAGAGTAAAGAGGCGCATGATGATTAACCGATGGTTCATGTGAGGAATGAAAATCATAGGTTAGGACGTTAAACCAATCCAGATATTTGTTTAGCTTGGGCACATCGTAGCCCTTGTCAATGTATTCAATGCCGGCTGGCACAGCCATGGTAAGCAGCAGCCTCGAGCGTCCAGTCTTCTCCGCCTCGCGTTCAAACTCTGATCTTAATTCCTGTACAAACTGCGCATAGTTATCCCGATCACGCGACTTTCCGCCTTCACGATGTGCTGGATATTCCCAATCTAAATCGATTCCATCGAAATGATTTTGACGCAAGAATTTCAATATATTCTTTATGAACTGTTGTCGCCGATCGGCACTAGCCACCAGAGGTGAGAAGCGTGAAGAAGCCTCGTTCCAGCCACCAATGGCAATCATCGTTTTCAGCTGCTTGTTGTACGTTTTCAGGCCGGTAAACTTAGCATAACCACCTGGGGAAGTTGAAGTGAAATTGAACAATCGAGATGAGTTCAATTTTGTTTCAGTAATGTAACATGTGTACATAGACGTATCTGGCTTACCTTGTTCTATATCCTGATACTTGTCAAATGGCTTCATTTGATTATCCTTGGTGAATCCACCGAATGCGTATACCAAATGTGTACACAAATATGGATTTATATTTTGGGGATTAAATTTAGCAGTGCCTGGTCGATAGACACTCCAATTCGTGTAGTAACAAACCACTCGACCCTCACTGCTCGCAACTGTAGTGTTAAATTAGAATTAATCGCTTTAGTTTTCTATCGATTGAAATGACCCAGTCCTTAAATCTTACCATTTATGCAATAGGCCAGTGCGCAGAGGAGTAAGAGCGTTTGCCAGCCTACTCCAGGCCGAAACTGTAAAGCAAACAACAGTAAAACGAATAAGTCAAAGTCGGAAGTGCTAAAGGTGCATATTATTGTAATAATACTTTAACATTGACAACGGCATCAATGGACTGAGATGCGGACACATGAGACAATCTTCAGTGACAAAAAATATCAAAGCAATTCAACCACGACAAATTCGCATGAAGGTCGACGTGAATACTGCATTCATCAAAACACGTTACACAACCTCACGAACTTAATATGCTAATTTAATTTAATGAAATACAGCATCATCTTTAAATCAGTTTTTATACCCTGAACCCATGAGTATGGATGAAAAGAGTACAATGGTTTTGTGCAAATGTAGCTAACAGGCAGAAGGAAGCATCTCGACTCCATAAAGTATATATTTTTTATGTGTCAGCATCAATACTCGAGTATCTAGCTTGTCCGTCCGTCTGTCCGTATGTATGACATATATAATTTAATATAATTAATTTTTTTTATACCACGATGGCGGATCCCGCAAACACACAACAATTTTAAGCAAGCGACCTAAATAAGGTTTTGGTAGAAGAAGGTACTAGAGGATTCCTATATGGGCACTCCCTAGTTTTTCTTTAATGTAGTGAGAGGGGTGGGTGGACTTAGAAATTGTCGTTTTGTGCGTTGTAAATGAGGAAGTAGCGCCACAGACTCCAAAAAATACTTTAAACAAGTTTTTTTACGCTACTTAAAGAATTTTGAAGCATTGAGAGTAAGTAAAATAGTAGAAAGAGTCTGACTCTTTAATATTTATACTCGTTAACAAAGTGAAGTCAAAGTGAGTCCGTCCGTATGAACAAAACATATTTTGCCGCTATTCAATTCAGAGACTTGAAATTTGGAATATGTAGCGCATGTCCGCATTGCTAGAGTCTTAGGAAAATATAAAGGGTGCTCAGTTTTCTGCAGTTTTGAACTATGTACGAATATTAAGAAGTCGGTTGCAGCCGAGGCAATATTCTTGTTTGTTTTATTTTTATATGACCGCATTTTTTAAACAAAATGCCAAAGTTTGGTAACATCATAAAACAACATCGCGAATGGTTTAAGTTACATGCATATATACATTACATAGTCTACCTTACAAACAGTCGACTTTTGGCCAGCAGCGCACAATAAAAACATGTAAGAGTGTGGTATACGTTTGTGCTCGACTAGAAGGTACCCTGTGCCCGTTTGCACCGAGATGCCACAACAAACACTACAATTGCATTTTACACGTAAGCACTTTGCGTACTTTTTGCATTGGCTGTTCTTCTTTCTCTCTGTGCACAAGGCTAATTCTTTAAAATTTAGAAAGAATCTGCGTATACGCTTAAAACTCAATATACATATAAAGATATTATAAAAATAGATTTTGAACAAAAATTTAGCTCCCTTTGCCTATAATGCAAGTAGATTTATATCCACTTTTTAAATTCGTTGGATTATATAGTTTCCAAGATGAATACATAATACAGACAGATATGGCATATTATACCCACTTTGCCATTTTCAATGGGTACGAGGTATAATTATATAAGCAAGCCAAACAGCAACAAATGGTAGCAGCTTGTTATGGAATGTGCGTGTATGCTGGCCATGCCGGTTTTAGTTCCATACACATACGCCGTCTCTTATTCATCGAAGCCACAGTAAGTTTTACACACACCCTAAAGTGAAAAAACTTGAAAGATTTGTATTTCAGCGAAAAGTAGTAAAAATGCCAAGTGTGGATCATCATCATCTGCAATAAGCTGCTGTTGTTTTTGGCTAATGGGCACAGGTAGGAGTATGTAGGTGGTTCACAGCATTGTTTTGTCTAGTTTTTATTTATTTATTTAAGCTGCTGGAGGAAGTAGCAGGAAGCTAACTCTTTATTTTATGATTAAAATATCTGCTATTCAACTGAAAATGATTTCTGTTGAGTAGCTTACAATTGATAATTATCTTGCTGTTAAATTCAAAATAAAAACATAAATATAATCGCAGGTCTCCACCAAACTTGCACTTTATTTATTGACTGACAAATTGGATTATTTACAAACAAAACACGTGGAAATAAAAAAGAACAACAAGTGAGAACTTTTGTTCTTAATGCCTTGGGCAACCACAAAAATAGTAAGTACTAACTTGGAATGAATATATATACTTGCTGAAATATTAAAAATACTTAAATTGCACATTTTTCTATTTCATCGAAAATGTTAGTTTTTCGTTTATTCTTGCAATAAATTAAATTTGAATGAGTTAGATGCATATTTAAATTTGGTAATTATCAAAGGTATGTTGGGTACGGCAAAAAAAATAATGTCTAAGGCATGCCCACCCAAACGAGTGTGCAATATTAAAGGTTAATGCCTTGGTTTTTTAAATCCAAAATCTAGTTAATTGATATAAACGGGGAAATGACTTCATATTTAAGCCACATTTCATATAACATTGCTGTGCCAACGGTTAAAAATCAACAAAAATATTATTGCGGCTCAACAAAAAGCCATCAGCAATACTTAAGCCACAAAGCTTTCCCCTTAACCCAAAGCCGTAAGTCGTTAGCCGTATCCATATCCGGCATGAGTTGGAGTGTGCCATATGTTAGCCACTTGTGGCACAAAGCATTGAGGTGAACATTTTCTCGATTGACGCAAAGGGGTTGTGTATTGATGTATGGATATGTGAATTTGGGTAATGGTATATTTACTGAGTACCAGAGTGAAGACCAAAATACATTTGCTCGGGCCTTTGGCCATTATTGAAAATGGCTAAACACCAAGCAGCAGCAGTGGCGACAACAACAGCTACAACAATATATGCCTATAAGACGACTTTTAATTTACATTCATACATGGCCATAATTTACATTGGTTGGTGCTGTTGTTATTTTGTTGTCGCACACATTGCCTAATATTTCTTTATTATCGATGGCGAAATGAAAAGCGACTGCAGCTTGCTACTTGCAAAAAATTTATTGCGTACATATGTACAAATTGCAGTCCGAAAAAAATAAGCCAACAAATATCTAAATAAAATGCCAACAATTCGGATTGCACATTGCGCATGTGCATTGATTGGCTCGACTGTTGACAAATTTGCCGATTTGACGCCAAATGCATAACAGACAAGGCAAAAAGAAGCAGACTCATGACAGTGTGTAAGTACTTAAGGCAAGTGGAACAGTTTCCAAATCGTTTGCGAACCAAAACGGACTCTAATTGAGTGAAGTCCTTTGCAATTAAAAGCAATGTAATGCAACAGAAGACATGTCATTTAAGGACGGGCTAACCGGTTGACGTTGTTGCAGGGTGAGCTCTGTTTCGGCCCAATTTGAGAATCACTTTCAATAAGATACCCTAAATTGCCGCGGCGAAGACAGCTGATGGTGGTGCTGCTAGCTCCCAAACCGCAATTTTTGCCAGAAAGTTTGCCGATGATGTCGATAAGTGTTGCAACACAACGAACAAACGGCCACACAACTGTGCCAATTTTTTAAATTTTTTTTCTTTTATTTTCGAGTCTACCCAAAGCAGCAACTGCAACTGAAACTGCAGCTGGAAGCCCGTTTCTTATGTAAGCGCCAGCAGCGATGGCCGCGTGTTTGAGTTATTGCATTGTCTCATCTAAAGTTGTCTCTGTTGATACGCTTGTTGCCGTCGCTTTAGTCTGTTAACTTAGTTACTGTGTCTTCTGATGTAGTTAGTGCAGTTAGCTGCTACTTCTTGGACAGTCTGTGCTCCCGTTGTTTTGGTTTTTCGCAAGGCATAAAACCTGTGTCGTGCTAGCCTTGACAACCAAACAACTGGTCTGGAATGCCCGACTAAGAGATATCCTCAAGCTAGTGACAAGTTGTCTCCCTTTGCTACGCGCTATGCGAAATGGCTTTTTAAATGATGCGAGCTAAGATATAAGAAGATAATATATTTTCAATTTTAGGGAGAACGGAAGGACGTATCGAAAAGTGAAATAATCTGCAGCTGCACACACACTAAATAATTATAACTCTCATGTTCTGTCCAAAAAAAAAAAACAGAAAATTTATAATTATTTCAATTTTGGAAATGGGTCAAAATATCGAAAAATGTATGAATGATAATCGAGCATATTTGAAATTGGACGGATAGACGGACGGATTTGTCTAAATAATATATATGTCATATACATTTTATGCGATCTGAGATACTTCCTTGTGTTACATATATTTGCACAAAATTAATCATACCATTTTCACCTGTCTACAATATTTTCGGGATAGAACTAGAGGGCTCAAGTCGGGAGTGTTTGACTAAAAAGCACCCTTAACAAACATTCTAACTTCTTGCCTATTAAGGATAAGTTTTCGCTGCGATTTTCATTAAACTTTAAAGGCTTTAGAAATGTGTGTATACCAAATCGGTCAAAGTTCCCATCACCGGACACCCGTCACGGTTATTTCTTTTTTTTTTTTTTGCTGACCGACACGCTTATAGGAGGGGTAAACTTATTGCAGTAAAAAAATATATATACATATATATAAAGCACATCAAATTGGAAACATATAAAGAAAATAAAACCTAAAATTTTCTTTAACGAAACCAAATCCTTTTTTCTGTGACTCTTAATTTTTTTGGGCCAGATAATTAATTGAAATGACAAACTTCTTCAAATAATTATCATATTAATTAGCAATTGCATTGCCGTCTTCAACACTCATGGCCGTCTTCAACAATAAGTTTATCGGGTAAAAATAAAAGATGAATT